CTGATGCTTCCTCGATGTACACCAACATTCCCACGAGGACAGCCATCACCAAGATCTCAAAGTGGCTCAAAGACAACCAAGAACAGTTCCCAGACCTGCCCACCAAGGCAGTCCTTAAGGCACTGATTCTCATTATGGAGTGGAGCTTCTTCCACTTCGGTGACACCACATGGCGGCAACTCAAGGGCACTGCAATGGGAGCCCCACCAGCCCCACCCTATGCCACCATCTACTTTGCCATCCTGGAGTCCATTCTGCTTCGATCCTTCATGGATAGTCTTGCAGTTCTGCAGCTCTACAGGAGATACATCGATGACGTCTTTGGCATATGGCACTGCCGAATGGAAGACAACCAGCTCCTGTGGGAGGGCTTCCAAAAGGCAATGAACAACAATGAGTACAAGTTGCACTGGGAGTTCACTCAACTCTCCAGTCAGGTGGAATTCATGGACATGACAATCACCCTTACACATGACAACAAACTGGTCACCACACTGTATGAGAAACCAACAAACTTGTATCTCTACATCCCATCCCACTCCTGCCACCCACCAGGCCTCCTGTCTGGAGTGGTGTATGGCAAACTCTTTAGGATCTATACACTCTGCTCTGAGGAGACTGACAGGCTCGCCAGGACCAAGCTCTTCTTCAAAAGGCTCCTGGCCAGGGGCAACCAAGCCACCACACTTAGGCCCCTCTTTGAAGCAGCAATCACCAGGGCAAAGGCCTACACTGGCCCCCAGCCCAACAATAACAACAAGAGGGACACCATTGGAATCCAGCTGCTGCACCTGGAATACCACCCCAAGCATCCCCCATCAAAGGTCTTACAGCAAGGCTGGAGGGATCGCATTGCCAATCCCACGAACCTTATGCCCTTCAAGCATGTCAGGATCCCACACACAGTGGTCCCCATGCGAGGCAACATGCCAATGGGACTGGATAGGATGATTGTAGCCTACTCTAGGCCCCCCAACCTTGGTACCCTACTGTCCTACAGGAAGGTTCCAGAATTAGATGGCTCCCCCGTCTCATCCTTTCTGAATTAGAGGCTTGTCGGGGAGCCATTGGCACACACCCCACACCCACACCCACACACACACACCCACACACACACCACACATCCAGCCCATCGAGGTATTGGATTTACGATTTAGTTTAGCTTGGTTTCGGACTATACCGTACCAGCACCTACGTGTCTATTTTCGAACTCACCACAAACAGGGTACCCTTTCTTTTCTCACACCCTACCCGGCTTGTATCTTTTGCCATCCCAGCTTGCTCCACTGATGAAGCAAACAGCGAAATTCCTAAACTCAGAATTTGGAAATCAGCAAGCAACGGTATTCCCCATGGATAAACATCCAATGGTAGATTCTTCGTAGATTTACTCTTAGTAGGTCTACAACACATCTCACACAACATCACACATCTCACACAACATCAACTACATACACCTACACACACACTACATCACACACACACATCCAGCCCATCGAGGTATTGGATTGACGGTTTAGTTTAGCTTGGTTTCGTGTCTAACCTGTACCAGCTCCTATGGTCTATTTTCGAAATCACAACAAAAAGGGTACCCTTTGATTTTCTCACACCTACCCGGCCTGTATCTTTTGCCATCCCCAGGCTTGCGCCAGCTGATGAGCAAACAGCGAAATCTTAAGCTCAGAATTTGGAAATTAGCAAGCAACGGTATACCCCATGGATAAAATCCAATGGTAGATTCTCGTAGATTAATTCTGAGTAGTAGTCTACACATATCTCACACAACATCACCATCTCCACTACAGCACTCAACGTATTCACCACACACACACACACACACACGGTATACCCATGGATAAAATCCAATGGTAGATTCGTCGTAGATTAACTCCTAGTAATATCTACAACACATCTACACACAACATACGAACATCTCACACAACATCACACATCTCACCACACTCCACGACACAACCTCACACACACACACACTACCTACCACACACATAGATTAAACATCCAATGGTAGTATTCGTCTAGATTAACTCCTAGTAGTATCTACACACATTTCACACAACATCACACATCTCAACACAGCATCACGTACAGCACACACAGAGAGAGAGAGAGAGAGAGAAAGAGAGAGAGACATTTGTCTATTTTTTATTCTTTGGATAACCAATTCGAAATTTTCTTTTGCCAATTCTTAAGTCTTCGAAGATAGCACCTACCTGTATCACCTTCAGTAGGAATTTTTTGACTACTCTAGCAGCCCAAATTCTCTCCTTTGTGTGCTTATTAAGCTACTCAAATAGCACAAGCTTTTTGAGTGTGGTGGGCTACTCAAGTAGGGCAATCCGGTCCTCCTTTGTGCTTGGCTGGGCGACTCTTCTTGCAGTCTAAACTCGCTCCTTTGTACTTGAGCTACTTGAGAAGCTCAAATCCACTCCTTTACATTTGGGTTTCTAAGCCAAAATTAAATACAGAATATTCTGTTTTATGCATTGAGTCAATCAGCTGAGGAAGTGGCGGATGCTTCTGAAGTTGCCAAAGGGGACCGAAACTGTGGGGAACTGTCACAGAGTTGCTAAAAAGAATTGGTTGAAATAACTAATGATATAGTTAGTTTATTTAATCATTGTGCATATGTATATGCTGATTGCCCGAGACAAGCTGCCATTAAAAGGTACAAGAGCAATACAAGCTGATTGCCGGATATTCGGAGGGGGGGGGGCTATGAGTGACAGTGGACAAGCTGATTGCATGAAATTTTGGTGAGGACGCGAAGGCCCGTGAATTGGAATGTTTATTATTATTCGTGAGGTCACCTCACGATTTAAACATAGAAGGGGGTCTGGGGGTGGCTCGTGCAATTTACTTTGGCTCTTTTGAATAGGAGCAAAGAGTACAAAAGCTGATTCTGCAATTAGAAGGCCTTCTTGAAGTGCAGTCGGTGGGTTAAAGCATGCACTAGCAAATAGTGAGGATTTAGAAAAAAGGAGTACTGCTGCTTACTTTAAACCATCACTGGTGGGTATGGTTTGAAGTATACATGCCTTAATGTGCTTTGCACTAGGTGAGTTTACACCAGGTTCTTAAAAAAGCTACCCCAGTAAGGAGTATTCTGCAAGACATTTTGTGTTGTTATTGCCGTGAAATCACCCAGAATGTAGCTCCTGGTACTGGCTGGCCATACCGTACGTATAATAGTAGCTAGCTAGCTAGTACTAGTAGACCACCATGATACAGGTGCGGATCTCTCCTGGTATGGACTAGCTAGCTCAGCACTTTTAAAAGCACAAAGTCTATTAACGCATTCAGACAAGCCGACTTGAGGACGACTAGCTAGCTTAGCATAGTACCGATAGCTAGCTAGTTGTGAAATTCCAGACACAAGCTCCAAGCAAAAAAGTTAAGCTTGACGCTGAGATAAAAGCTGTAAGCTGCAACCCAACAAAAGCTTCAAGCTGGGACGACGGATCCAGGCTGGGACAACGGATCCAGGCTGAGACAACGGATCCAGGCTGGGACAACGAATCCAGGCTGGGACAGCAGGTTCAGGCTGGGACAACAGCTCTATGCTGGGACAACACCTTCAGGCTGGGACGAAAGCTACAGGCTGGGACAACAGCACCACAGCTTCAGGCTGGGACCACACCTTCAGGCTGAAACCACACCTTCAGACTGGGACAATAGCTACAGGCTGGGACGAAAGCTACATCTTCAAACTGGGACGAACGCTTCGCGCTGCTGTGACCATAGCTCCAGGCTGTGACCACAGCTCCAGGCTGTGACGAAAGCTTCAAGCTGTGACGAAAGCTTCACACTGGGACCACAGCTTCACGCTGGGACCACAGCTTCACGCTGGGACCACAGCTTCAGGCTGGGACAACAGCTACAGGCTGAGACGAAAGCTACAGGCTCGTAGCGTCTTTTCACACTGCTTTGTTCAAAACACCATTGGTACGATTCCCAGCCTGGTTGTCATGATCACGGAGCATGACAGGCGGTACTTCATTCCTTGGTGCTTTTTCCTGCTGGGAATTTTAACGGTGCCGACGCTTTGGGAGATGGTGTTGGTGTTGGTGTTGGTGTTGATGCTTCGGGCGGACCTTCTTGTTCTTCTTGGATGCCATTAGTGCTGGTCTCGGCTCGTAATAAATTCACTGGGAATGGTATTGGAATAGCTGGCTGGTATTGTGAACTGATTCGATTCTATTTTATACTCCAGCTTGTCTACCACCAATGACAATGACAACCACAATGACAACACCAGCCTTCTATGGGCGGGAAACTCGAGCCAGCTGAAGCATTGCCAGTAAAGCACTTGTGATGGCCAGTAAAGCACTCGTGATGGCCAGTAAAGCACTCGTGATGGCCAGCGGTGCGTGCAAAGATCCAGCGTCTGGCCTCGGGCCGAACCTTCCTGCCCAAATTATTATTAATGTTATTGACCGCCAAGGAGCTGAAGACCAAGGAGTGGTGTTGGGACAAAAGTAGGCTAAGTGAAATCTCTGCAACTCTCTGTTTGCAGCCTTGACTCGACTCTGGAATCGAATCCAATAGAAGAGTAGCGATTATCAGCTCTGCCCAATCTAGCAATCAGAGTACGGACAATACCGTATTGGATAGTGCCGAAACGATCGAGTGCGGAATAGAGGACCATGCCATTGCCACAACAACAGCCGCTCAAGGGCGTCATTGCCTGTCTGACGGGCGTCCAAAACAAGGATCAGTATCATGAATGGATCGAATCGTTGGGAGGGAAATTCACACGAGATTTTCACAGTGCCAACAATACGCATTTGATCTGCGAGAATCCCAAGGGAGCCAAGTACGAGGCTGCCATTCAAGTGCCGAGCATCCAAGTGGTCCGGCCAAGGTGGTTGGAAGAGTGTTATCGACAAACGAAGCGAGTGGATGAAACAGAGTATCTGTATCCTACCAATGACAAGCGCACAAGTAGTAGTAACCACAAGGACAGCAGCAAGAAACGGCGTAGTAGTGACAAGGTGGTGTCATTGGCGTCACTGCTCGACCAAGCACTACTACTTGGTGGTACAGGTGGTGGCGACCAGCAACCCACTCCTCTCTTTTCCACTTTCCAGTTTTATTTGATTGGATTTGACCAAGATGCGACAGCCAACAAAGAACAAGCGCAGCTCTGTCGCTTGATTCGAAGAGGAATGGGGACTGTCTTTTGGGAGTTTCACCCGAACATTACTCATGTCATTGTTTATGATCATTGCCATGACGCTGTGAGGTGAGGAGAACTCACTGAAATGCTTCGATCTCATTATCTTTGATTATTTATCCTCACTGTCTCGGCCTTTATCCCCTTATTGAATCGAATCATTTTCTAGAGAGTCCATCAGCAAAGCCAAAGCGGAAATTTTTGAGAACCAAGTGGCTGTTGTGTCTCCTTGGTGGGCAGTGAAATGCTGGCAACACAGCAAAATACAAAACCCAATGCAATATCCACCACAGCTGGAAAAACGCGACAATAAGCGACAAAAGAAACATCGACAATCCTCCTCCAAAGACAACACCACTGCGGCTAATACCAGCAAACTCTTTCGTGGCGCAGTCTTTGCATTACTACAAGTCTCCAATCCACCCGTTTGGACGGTGGACTACGATACAACCGAATTGGAAAAACTCATTCGATTGCACGGTGGACAACTCTTGTCCCTGAAATTAGTCGAGACACTCAAAGTAGATCATGCTCAACAAGTGGAGCAAGCTCGTCGTATGAAAACAACCAAAACCAAACGGCCCTGTTACGTGCTGAGCTGGGGATCCAGTGCCTTGTTGCAGAAACAACAAATGACACTGCATCCTCTCTTGACGCAAATTCAGAGGAAGGAACTCTGCACCATGGTCATGGTGACACCCAATTGGCTCCAAACTTGTGTCGCAGAGCAAACTTTGGTCCAGCCAGAGGTAATGCCACAACTATTTCAACCGCAAGCATGGCCTTGGAGAAAGCTTCTATCCAACAATAATACATGCATTGGGGAGGACAAAGAGAAGAAAAGTACCATCTGCATTACAGTGACTGGTTTTCAAGGCCACGAGCGTACCGCCATCAAGTATGCCGTCCGAGCCATGGGAGCCTCCTTTGACGATGCCCTGAAACAAAAGAGTACGACACACCTGATTTGTGCAGCAGACGCAACACAGCCAAAGCAACAGTCCAACAATCCCAAACTCGTCAGGGCCCACGAGTGGGGTATTCACGTCGTGTCAATGGACTGGCTCTATCATGCTCTGCAGCATGGAAAAGACAATGCTGACAACAACAAAAGGTAGAGAGGATGATGATACTACAAAATGAAGTGTAGGGGGCGGAAACATCGTAGGGGATTACTCCAGTTGTCCTGTAACTTAAGTTTATGTACAAGTTTGCCTACAGAACGTGCCAGTCTCAGGATATGCATTCCGATTCTTTCCACACTGCATGAATTGAATCAAGACCAAATTTATAATGTACCACAATTGATTTGCATCTCCTCAGACCACGCACTATATACATCCTATCTAGCTACCGAAGCTAGATTGCGTATCGTTCGGGACTGAAGATGGCGTAGTACACAACTAGAACAAGCAGTGCTGCCAACAAGTCCCGACTGAACAAGATCCTCGCGCATCGCGTCAACAATCCAGGTTCCTCTTTCCGCTTTACTCCCGTGCCATGTGAACGCTTTTGTGTCTTTTTCTTCTTTCTTTTCTTTTTCTTTTGGACTGTTTTCTCCATTGTGCTGCTGCTTTGTATAGTACTCGTATCACTATCATCAGTGTCACTGTGTATTGCTGTTGTCTCTGGGGTATTGTTGTCGGTGGCATTATCGTTGTTTTCCGTTAATAATGACGGTGGTGTCCATTCGGGAAACACTCCTTGCAGGACGAGTTTCTCGTGATCCACCAAAGAATACTGATACGACTTTTTATCCAGCACGTGTTCCTTCCATTGTCGACTGGAGCGTGCCAATTCCCGTCGCGTACGAGGTTTGGCATTGGTCCCTCCAATTTCCATGGCCAATGTCAGCATGTGCAACCGTAACGATTCGATAATGGTGCGCATATTGTAGGCGGCGGGATTCCAAGTTTCGGGATGAAACGAGGACGCCGAAAGACAAATGTTGGCCCGTGGTACGAAACGTCCGGAAGGAGTCCAGACTTGGACCCGTGGTGGGACCATGGGATACTGTGTGGGCAATTCGATTCGTCCGTGATAGATGCCACCTTCAAAGTCGGATCCTTCCAACCCCAAAAAGGAAAAGTGCCAGACAAATAGATTTTTGCCCAGTGGGCCGATGCACATGTATTGTTGTGATGTAGTGATAGTGGAGTTGGATGGATCCACCGTACTGTTTTCGCGTTCGAGTGTTGCTGTTTCTTCTTGTGTTGTCACCACAAATGCCACTTTTGGTTTCTTCTTCTTCTTTTTGGCACTCTTGTTTTTGACAGGTTTTGCCTGCACCCAATCGTAGGCAATTCCCATTTCCACAGCATCTTTCCATTCACTTTGGACCCGTTTAATGAACATGGCTTTGCTGCCAGAGAGTGAGGTTGTTGTTTTGGATGGTTTTGCAATACTAGCAGTTTCCATGGATGATTTCGTGGTTGCCGATTTTGTCTTCTTTTTCTTTTGTTTTTGGGTTGGAGAGTTTTCTTCTGTTTTTGGTATCTCGTGGGCCATCACTGTGGCCGTGGATGATGCAGTACTGGTTGTTGTGGTACTTGGATTGGCGAGACCCGCTGATGGCGACTTGGTCGTACTTGCAGAACCAGTAGAAGTACTAGTAGCCATGGATGCAGCAGGAGATGGATTGTCGGTGGATGAAGTTGCCAAAGTTGGTGCGAAAAGGAGAGAGAGGGATATTATCACCAGTAATATTCTGTAAGCCAAAATTCTCATGGTTTTCTGCTGTCGATACCCTTGCCGTCGTGTTGTGCATGGACAGTTTTGTGGACGTGGCACGGGATCATTCCCAGGTTGGACTTCATGGTCTTGAGGAGCATGCTGCCGCTCCTGGCTTTGTTGAGTACGTGTTGAATCAATCATCAAATGATACGAGATACCTCTCACTCGGAATTACCAGTGACTCTATACTAACTACATGTAAGTCAAAAGGAGTCTTGGAGTGTTGTTGCTTCTTGCTTGGCTTGGGTGTTCAATCGTTTTGTTGTCGCGAAGATCGCAAAGTCCACAACAAAAGAATGAAAGATGGAACGAAAAAGAAGTTGGTCGAAGTCAGGATTCTAATTTTCTGCTGGCTTATTTCCTTGAACCAAAGACAAGATCCAAGATCGCAAGATCGCGAGATCCATAGATACCGGTACATGTATGTAGATAGACCTTTTCGAGGCAAGACACCACCAACCCATCTATCGGAAACAAAGCTTACATCGCAGTATATGAAACAAACAATGCTAAAGCGAATCACCCTCGTTCTTTTCGTGTTGCTGCCGACCCTGACAGGCACCGTCCACGCCTTCACATTCTCTCCGAAATCCAATGTGAGGGTATCTGTATCTTCCTGTCGCCACCAGGTGTCCAATCCATTACACCCAACAAGATTATGTACACTGGGCAAACCAGGTTCAAGACAACAGGAGCTATTCAAGCTTGCCAGTAGTTCTTCTTCACCAGATGACAACAACAACAACTCACTTTCTTCATCACCAAACTGGACTGTCGTCGCCTTCTTGGGCACCATTTCCTTTTTGTACTGGTATTGGATGGTCCTGGCCGCGGCTGCCGTCGCCAATGACTGGCCCGCCGTCCCGGACTTTATTCCGTTGGTCCCGGGATGGCCACCGTCGGATCAAGATTTACAGCCCGTCATGGAAGATGCCTTTCATTTCTTTTATCTTTCCGAGCTGCTGCAAAATTCCGATGCTCCCGCCGTCAACCCATTGCGATTGGCCGCATTCAACATTGATGAGGCGTGGATATTTGCATACTTGATCCCGTTATGGAACGATCCAAAACGACTTCCTCGACCGGTACTATTGGGACTTTGGATGCTGCTGGGGATTAACTTGACCAATGCCTTTTTGGCACCGTATCTGATGGCGACCGAGATTTTATCCAGCAACGACAATGATGCAGAATCAGCAAAAGATACCGCCGAGGTAATTCCTGGCAAGAATCCCATTGTGGCGACCATCTTTGGAGCGATTGCTACTGCCGTGATAACCTATGCCATTGGTCAAAGCATCTTTGTGGCGGATGCCGCAGCGTGGAAGGAATTTCAAACTCTGGTCGTGTCCGATCGAACCTACTTGGCATTTTGTGTCGATCTGCCCTTGTTTGCCGTCTTTCAGCCATTGATTCTATCCAGAGTCAATAAGAAGGAGTTGACGGCTATTGATTATGTCCCCATTGTCGGGCTGCTAAATTGGATGTTCTTTGCCACAACAAAAGATGATTGAGATCCATGACAGTACTGCATCATCCTGCAATGTACAACTAGTAAGTAAACATAAAACGCGATGACATGGAAGCAACGGAGCTTCGCACGACTCTCTTTGGATTCTCTCTCAGGGTTGTTACAGCACATGTAGCAGCAACGTGAATAGTAGGTAGTACGGCATCTACTGTTGCTGTATAAGTAATTATTTGTAAACTATGGTACCTATAATGACCTGGCTGTGGGAGCATCAACCGGACTGGCCATGGGAGAATCAGTTGGGGGGTCGGTGGAGGAGCCGAAGGAGCATCAGTTGGCGGCTCGGTGGGCGGATCCAAAGCAGCAGGACCAAGAGCAATCCAAAGGAGCAGGAGCAGGACCAAGGGCAAGAAGGCGGCATCTCATAGACCACCACTATAACAGTTGCTCGCGCTTCTTCAGATCGAAGACTTAGCCAACAGATGCGAGTCACTTCAGGCAAGCTTCTTTTTGGAAGCTGGACCACGCTTCTTCCGGAGCAAACACATGACAGTACCAGCAACCAAAACTCCCAGAGGTGCCAAGGCTGGTCCTCCAAAGAATGTTTCAAGTGCAAATGAAGAAAGGACAACAACCAACACTGGGATGCCAACCAAAATGATGCGTGACCAAAATCCCAAGCCTTCCGCAAAGTCTGCCCACTTTAATCCAGCCTGGAGCCAGGGAATGATACCGTCACTGTTGGATGGATCGGGAGATTGACAGAAACTGGATGAACCGCCCATGCATAGTAGTCTGTAAGGCGACAACCATAGGTGGAAGATAGTTTGATCACTCATCCAGAAGTAGTCCTTGGCTGTAGAAATGCCCTCAGGGGCATCATTGTGGATTGAAACATAGGTCGATGCCACAATTCCATCCGCCACAATGGTGCCGTCAGGTGTCAGGGGCATGTATAGTCCTTCCTTTTGCACTAGTGAGATCTTTGTGACCGGACTTGAGGGTTGCTCGAATCCAACCACAGCCACGCGATCCCCAATCTTGACCTGATCCGCAGGAATGGCCTTTTGCTTGTTGCCATCAATGATGTAGATCAAATGCTTTCCTGACAATTCAAGAGGTTTCTTCTGCTGGTCTGTAAAGATTTGCAGAAAGGTAGCAACCTTGGACTCATGACGGTGCCCAAAGCTGTACACAGGCTGGTACAGTCCTCCACTGGTCAAGACCTTATCACCCACTTGAAGGTCCTTCATGGAAATGTCACCTTTGTGCTGAACTTGCACAATGGCACTACTGGAGAAGCAGATACTCCTGTCTCTGCCTCCGCAGCCGCAACCTCCTCCATGGCCGCCACCATAGCAACCGGAATCGTCGCTGCTACCCCAATTGCCTCCACCTCCACCTCCACCTCCTCCACCGTACGAGTTACTGCAACCGTCTTCGCTGTCGGTTGGAGAGGAAACGGGAGCTGTTGAGGGAGCAGGCGTGGAGCTGGTAACCGGAGCATCCGTTGGGGGTTCGGTGGGCGGGGCCGTGGGACCATCAACCGGAGCGGCTGTGGGAGCTTTGGTGGGAGCTTTGGTTGGTGCTTTAGTGGGTGCTTTAGTGGGCGGGGCCGTGGGACCATCAACCGGAGCGGCCGTGGGAGCTTTGGTTGGTGCCTTTGTAGGTGCTTTAGTGGGAGCTTTAGTGGGAGCTTTGGTTGGTGCCTGTGTAGGTGCTTTAGTGGGTGCTTTAGTGGGAGCTTTGGTTGGAGCAGAACCAGTGTAAGGGCAAGAAGCCGGCGTCTCATATACACAGGCGTGATTTCCACCGCAATGGCAGTCGCTTGAGCATGACCAACTACCAGCAGAACCATAAATGCCACAACTTCCACGATCCTTGACACCAAACACAACTTTAGGGTGCGATCCATCACTTGCCAGAGGTACTGTCACACAAAGACCGCCTTTGCTTGAATCATACTTTACTCCTTGTGCTGGCGAGCCACTGGAATCTACCAACCCACATCCCTTGCTGCTTCCACTGGAGTCATTACAGGTATCCGAAAAACCTGTGTCCGAGAGACGAGACGATTCTGCCGACAAGTCAACGCCATCCACATAGATATTAATGTGAGAGTAGGTGTCACTAAACCGATAACAGAGACATGAAACAAAGAGATTGCACGAGAAAATGATGCAAGCAAGTGAGCAGATGTATTTCATGATAATTACAACAACATTCACAAAGAGAAAAGAGAACTGTGGCACCATCTATCTGGTCCAATCGACATTGCAGCCGCTTACCTGACACTGCTGTCACTCTTACAAACACAGGACCCGGTTCCATCGTCACAACTGGAGCCACTCTGATCTTGGAGGCAGTATTGTACCTCCGATCCACTGCATGTTCCCACCGTGACTTCCATGCATTGCTCGACGTAGACATCACAGTAGTTGACGCTGCCTTGTGCATTGGCAACAGCCACAAAAGAGGCAAGGAAAGCGAACAGAAGCTTCATCTTGTCGTCGTCCACTAAACAAAGGAGAGAGGCCAAAGAGGAGAAAGTCGAGCGGCGAAGAGGACGGGTGAGCGCCATGGTCGAAAAATGTTGCAACAAAAATGTTGCCATGAAAAAGAGAAGCGCCGATGGCGTTCGCTGTTGCGTCCGAGCCGCTCCCAGCAACCACGCTTTTTGTCATCCTCTGTGATGCAAAAGAGAAGCGACAATGGCGTTCGTTGTTGCGTCGCCGCCACTCCCAGAAACCACGCTTCTTGCCATCCTCTGTGATGCTTACCTGCTTAGTCCGATTTTCGATGACCGATCTTCGTTCACTGACGATTTTCAAAAAAAATGAGGGTCAGATCTTCTTTCTCTTTCTCGCTGCGAAAGATCCGAGGGCTTTTTGCGCTCCCAAAGGAAAACGTGACCTTGTACTCCGAGTATGGAGAATAGTGAACAGAACCTCCACGTACCGTACTGTACCGTACCATAAAAGTATCTAAAATGTCAGAACGCCGAAGAACATCACACACTATTTAGAGACACAAAAGTCCTTTGGGACCTTTTAAATTATTAGCCGCTTTCAAAGCCTTGTTTATAAGATACTGGTGCCCTGTTAGAAGCGCGCTCAGTTCTACTGGAGTAGGTAGAGCGTCATACCTCGCATGTCGTCGAAGGCTTTAAAGCGGTACCAGTTACCAGGTAGTACATGGAAGCAGCCACCAAATAGGAAGATCCTTCTTATTCTGCAACTTGAACAGTATTTTTCTCGGCGAATTGCCCCATTGCATTTCATTGATTTGTGGCAGCGTAAGAATGAAAAGAAACAGTTGTAACGGAGAGAGGCAAGTTTCCTTCTGAATGAAGGACGAAGAAAGGGCCCAAGGGTGGCGATGACAAAGTCAATCTAAATACAGCATAATAGGTAGTATCCGCAAAGCATCTACGTATCAGTCACACCACTACGGAAGCAACCACCGTGCCGCATCAGAATCTTAAGGCTGAGAGAAGTTCCACTTGCAAGCAACTTGCCCCGGACACGTTCAAGAATTATGTTATGTCTTCGTGAACGAGGGTGAACAATGGGAACATGGGAACAAGCAGGCATAAAACCTGTCCCGGCTTTCCAATTCTCTTCCCATGACTCTATGCCGAGGGGACTCACACATGCTCCTGCCGTACCGGTACCGGTACCGGTACTGTGGACTGTGGAATGCTGTTGTTGAAGATGCCGTAGGATTACCGTACCGGTACCAGTACAACTGTACGGTACCGGTACCGTTCGAAGTGCGAAGGATCAGTCACGAGCAGGAGCCAATCCAGAGCCAGCCGTAGCCAGTCACGCGGCCTGGAGCGGAGGGGAGGTTCACAATAATTATTACAGCTCAGTTGGATTAGATTGAGATCGAGATTTGACAGTGCGCTCTCAGAAGATGAAATTTTGAGCTCCCAACCCACCTCGTTCCGAACTGCTCATCCATCCAAGACGAAGCAACAGGCAACAGGTAGCTAGAGCTAGCTAGCTGGGGGTATCAAGCAAAGATTCGAATCCGGTAGGTGTCGGCAGTTGACCCAATAGCCAAAGCAGTCTGCGCTTCCAGTTTAGGGCGCTTCCCAAGTGTGAACTGGGTGCGGTAGCTATTGAAGAGAGTTGAGGCGATAGACACTCCACCACCAAGATTTGACCAGCGGAGTAACATTCATTTTTGTTTGAAATTTGAGTTTTTACTGCACTCTTTTTGTTCTAACAAAGAGAGAGAGAGAGAGATTTGGAATCAGACTGTGTGTGAGAGAGAGATAGAGAGAGAACGAGAGCATGTACAAACCGAGTCCTGAGGCTTTGAAGAGCATGATGGTGGTCAAACCTCAAGGTGACGACTACGAATCTCGTGAAGGAGGCACTTCCACTTCCCCCGGCTCCACAAGTCCCCAAAAGACACACAACAGTGGTTTTAATAGCAAGCCAGCCTCCTCTTCCGACGAGGACGACAGTGGTCCACTACGACCTGGCCACCACAATCCACAGACTCACAGTCATGCCATCAAAAGCAAATCGACCAATTCCACCACTTCACCTAGCAGCAGTTCGGCTGGTCCTGCTGGATTGTTTGCCGAGAAGAAGGACTCCAAGCCCATGCCCATGAACCCACGTCGCACCATTCCACTCCCTTCCTTTACCAAACGAGAAAAGAAACCACGCAGTGCCACCATGTTACGGCGCACGGGATCTCACACGTCTTCCTTTACAACGGATGCGGCCATGTCGGTGGATCACTCGGGAACCGACACGGGCACCAACAATTCCTACGAACCACTCGAATCCTCCATTGAAGAAGAGACGGCTCCAGATACACCGGCGGCTCCCGTCTCCAATGTCATTGTCAAACCAACTCAACAGCAGCAACCACGAGCGGCCTCACCATTTTCTCTTCTATCGGATGATGTTTCTTCCGAGATGAATACTCCTCGTCAAGACGAAATTCTCAAACAGCACCAAGAAAAAATGGAAGAACTAGAAGCCAAAATGCAGCTGCAAATTCAAGAACAGCAGCGACAACATGCCGAAATTCAGCAAAAATTATTGCAGCATCAACAAATGCAAATGATTCGGGAAGTTCCATCCAGTCAAAGCATGGCGTCGCCGACACCGCCCTATCCGCAACAGCCCCCAGTGGCGAGCGTCCCACAATTGCAACTGCAACAGCCGACATTAGCGGTGCCTCCAACTCAGCAGCAACAACAACAACCGTATCTAGTACAGCAGCCACAGCCAGTCGTAGCACAGTCACAACAACAAATAATCAATCCACAAGGGCAGCATCCACCACCACCAATGAATCAACAAGGAATGGCCATTCCGAATAGCGTGCAACAGCAGATACCGCATTTCTCGTCCAACAGCTCACAGCAATCCGCGGCCAGCAGCAATCAGTTCAACCACATGACCGGACAACAGCAACAACCAGTATCGAATTTTGCTTCGTCTCAACAGCCGACAATGCAGCAGCAGAATCCGCAACAACAACCGCCAAACCAGGCTCAATTTGTACCAGTGCAGCAGCAGCAACAACATCAGAGGGCTCAGTTACAGCAGCAGAGACAGCAGATGCAAAATTTGAGAAACAATTTCCAACAACAACAACAACCTGTTCCTTCCAATACTACGGGGCAAGATGCTAGCTCGCGTGCTGCCACTCCCAAAATGAAGGGGGGAATGCATGTTTCCAGCAAACCAGGGACTCCGACCATTCCGTCCGAGGGACCAACTGCTTTCAATCCATCCACGCAGCAAACTCGACCTCCAGTGTCTGGTGCAACGTCGCCCAATCCAGCGGCGGTGCAGGTACCCATGATGCCACAACCGCAACAACAACAGTGGCCGGGACATCAGCCGACAAATGTCATGCAGCAGCAGCACCCGCAGAATGTGCAGCAACATGCTCCACCACAAGTGCAACAACAAGCACGGGGTGTACCGGCCCCGCAAAATCCTCAATTTGGTGGCGCTCAGCATCCCTCGGCTGCAATGGCACGCAACCAAGTACAGCCTCAAACGGGTGGGCAGCAGCAGGGACCAGGAACAGTGCAGCGAATGCCACCCCCACAGCCAGGTGCTCGACAGACGCCAACGCCTCAAGCAGCTCCACAGCAACAGCCATGGAATCAAAACTCTTCTGGCGTGCAGCATCAAGGTAACAATCCAGCGCCACGGCAACAAGCCTTCCCACAGCAGCAACCAAATGTACCAATGCAGCAGGCTAATCAACAGCCGCCTCGCCAGATCCAACAAGGACAACCTCCTGTGCAGCAGCCAATTGCAATGCAGCCTCAAGTACAAAAGCAACAGCAGCTCAACCAACAACAGCCGCGTCAACTGCAACACGGACAACCTCACGTGCAGCAGCAACATCCTCGTCAGGCTCCAGTACAGCAAGGGCAACCGCCTGTGCAGCATCGTCAGATCCAACAGGGACAACCACCAGCGCAGCCGCCCAATCAACAGCAGCCTCGTCAGGTCCAACAAGAACAATTGCAAGTACAGCAACAACAACTGGCAGTTCAGCATCCCAATCAACAACAGCCTCGGCAGTTCCAACAAGGGCAGCTGTCAACGCAGAATCCTTATCAACAACAGCCTTCTCAGATCCAACAAGGACAACAACCAGCTGCTCGGCTGTCCAATCAACAACAACCTCATCCAGTCCAACAGGGACAACCGCCAGTGCAGCAGCAAATTAGACAGCCGCTTCCGGGGCAGCAACTACAGCAAGGATCGCAGCCTCATCATCCGTCCCGGTCGAATGATCAAGCTTACCAGCAGGCTTTGGCGTCACTTTTGGGCCCGTCTCCTGGTCCAACTAACCCCACTTCGCCTTTGCCACCCAGAACACCGGATCATCAAGCAAGAACGCCGAATCAAGCACAGTTTGACGCAAACCAGCAGAGGACGCGCCAACCGCATCCACAGACAAGTCTTCTGACGCCAATTCTTTCCCATGAGATGCCTCCTCAGCCTCGACAGCGTACTTCGAGCCATGATTCCCGTGCCAGCCATTTCTCCGTCGCTTCCCAGCCACTGCCTCAAGTTACACCAGAACGGCAAAGGATGAGGCAAGCAGGCTTTCCAGCACAGGTCATGCATCAGTATTCAATTCCGCAAACTCCCCCCTCCACGCACTCTCAAAGCCCCCAAGAAAGCGAATCGCCGCAATGGTTGACGGACCTGACGTCTCAAGCTTACAATCAACGGCACCAACAATCTCCAGTCCCATACCAACAAGTGGCAAGTGTGGTTCCTGCGCAGACCGTGCCACGGGCAATGCAGGGAGCACCGGGTCCTACATCAAATCAGCCTGTTGCCTCGACCCAGCCCGGAAAGAATGATCCGGTGTACACAAAGGCCTTGGCAGACCTTTGGTCCCAAGCTGAAACCAATCACGAGGCGGTTGATGCTTCCAAAGAAGTATCCATTCAACTCCCAGCTGATTCGGAAAGAAGCAACAAGACAGGATCTTCGAGACGTCTCAGCTTGGATTCGGAAACTGAAAGAACCAATCGCTCGAGGACGAGTAATGCATCTGCCGCAAGCATTTTCAGTGCCGCAACTCTGCCTCTCACGAATATCCAGGCACGTGCTTCCCCTCAGCAACGGCCACAGGCTCAAGTATTCAGTGGCACCACCTACCAACAAGCACAGAATTCTGGGGCTCGTCAGTACGAGCAAAATCTCCAACAACAAATACAGACTGCTGCGGCTTACCATCCCCAAAATACTGCAACTCATCAGTACCCACAAAATCCCGCTTCTCAACAGCCTCCACAGAATGCAGCCTATCATCATCATCCACAACAGACTGCGGCCGCTTACCAGCAACACCCGAACCCTGCAGCCGCGGGGCATCTGCAAAATCCAGCTACTCTACAGCATCCACAGAATGCCACCACTGATTTTCAGCATCCAGCCTATCAGCAGCAGGCAGCTTCATATCAGCAAAATGCCTCGATGGCCCAGTATCAACAGCATCCGGTCGCACAGGGTCAGCAAAATGGTCTTCCTTTGCAAAGGCAAATTGTGTCTGAGAGCGTACGTAACGAATTTGACGGCGAAGCGATCCTAGGATCCGGGGGAAACGTGCCTTGGGCTGCCAACGCTGAGCCAAGAGGAAATGGAGCCGCTGCTCCCAACGACGGCATATATGCAGTTGGGGCTGACTCAGCTACGAGGCCGAACCCTGCGCCAGCTCGACGAAGCAAACGCAACGATGGAGGCCATGATCCCTCAAAAGGTTCTGGAGATGTCGAAAGAGAAGAAGTCGCTCGAGCCAAGACGACAGACGAGGCAAAACAAACTCAGAAAGTGCATGAAAAGGCTCGGGCGAACGAACCCGGTGCAACCGGGCAAACAAGAAATACGAAGTCGGACGTCGAGAACAACCGAGCCAGTGCGCCTGCTGCATCTGGGGACGCGGACCGCGAAAGCAAACCATCGAGCTTGGGCGTGTACCTGGGGTGCTGCATTTTGCTTTTACTGATCGCTGGAGGTGCCACTGTTGCCGTCCTCTATTTCACAACAGATGTGTTCGGTACCAAGGATGACAACCCAACGCAAGCACCGGTGCTACCACCCAGTGGACCAGTGGCAAGCGCGCCAACGACATCTCCTTCCAGCGAGGCGACGCCAGAATCAACGCCCGACGGAGCAGTCGCGACAACTTCAGAGCCCACGTTTGCACCTGCCTTGGATTTGATTCCGGAAAATGCGACTGGATTGCACGTGATTTCGAACATGTCGCAGGCACCCTCTTTCGTTGAGGGTGACTTGTGGGAAATTGATCTCCTAATGACCGACTCTCCTTCGACTGGACTTGACGACGGTGACGCAGCAGGCAATGTGACATCAAATACGGCAACGCCAACTTTTGCTACTACGAATGCTACTACGAGCAGCCCTACGGGGTCCGCTGAAGACGTTGTTTCAGCGAATCAAACTTTCGCGTGGGAATTTCTTAATCTAGAGGTGATTGGAGATGACCCAGGTGCAAGGACGGGTTCGTTTGTTGTCACGAACAGCAATGGACGGGTCATTGCCATCGGCTCGGTGGGGCAGCCTCTTGTTGTCGTGTATCGACTTTTGCAGGGTTCTTCTCTGCAACAGCTGGGTAGCCCGTTTCCTATTGTGGATGGCGCTGCACCGGTGTCCGCAGCGCTTAATGGACAAGGTTCAATCCTGGCTGTTGGATACGACGATGGCTCCGTTCTAGTTTATCAGTACGTGGAGCTTGATGGTGAATGGGTAGCAAGGGGGGCGGCCGTCTTGCCAGAAGGGGGGCGTGTGAATGCCTCTTCCGTGTCTGTATCGCTATCTTCAGGTGGTGTGATCCTTGTTGTTGGTGTCTTGAGTGACTCGGGTACGCTGACGGTGCAGTCCTATCTGTATAGTCGAGGAGAGCAGAGCTGGGATCCCGTTGGAGATACGATTTATCGTCTGGAACGTCGTTCCGCCAGCGTGACGGTGTCCGCCAGTGGATTTGTCATGGCCTTCACCACCATCAAGGAAATCCATACAGAGCAATGGGGGTCTGTAGAAACTTTCGAGTTGGATGTGTATGGTGGTGCCAACACTACTACCAGAGGGTCGTTTACTTTGTTGGGTATTTCGGACCTTGCAGTTTCGCTTTCCGTGAACGGCACGACAATGGCTGTTGCCAATGACAAAAGATCCAGCGTCTATGGCTACTCAGAGAGCCTCCAATCCTGGCAAGTGCAACCCGGCGGCGACCGACTTGCCGGTGGTTCTGTTGTTTCGTTGGCTTTTGACTCTGAACTTGTGGCAATTGGAGGAGGCGCCAGCGACATAGTACACACCTACGAAAGAATTGACAACTGGTGGAGAATGCATCCGTCGTCTTCTGGACGCAGGCTAAGCTTGTATGGAACGGGACGAGACGGCTTTGGATCAGCTTTGTCTCTATCTGGCGACAGTAGCACACTCGTTGTTGGCGCCCCTTTAGATGACGAGGGAGGTGACGATGCCGGCAAAGTTTACTTCTACGGAGCAAGCGAACTCGACGATGATAACTAAATAAAATGTGACGAAGATGTAGTTGACGTTAACATCTCTGATAGCTGTCACTATCTAGCTATATGTGAATTATTGTAGCACTATTCGAATCTGTCCTTGGTGGCCCACAACCCCAGTGCTGGATTCCGGATAAAGAAGAACTTTCCACTGCCTTCGACATTGTCGTTCCAGCCATCACTGAGCTTGTCGACAGGATACTTCTTTGACATTTCTTCTAAACTTCCATACTTGAACCCCACGCCTTCGACCTCGCTTTGGGTCAGATGTCCGGGGCAGTACGTAACTGAAAAGCGTCCTTCTGAGCTTCCATGAATCAAGTGAGCCACAGCGCTCAGGTTGTCCTTTAGTTCTGGATTGTCGTTCAAAGCCTTCATAATCGTATCCGTGCCAACATAACCGTACTTTCGTATCAGTTCATCAATTTTGTCATCCTCTCCAAATCGCTTCACGCCGGGTGCTAGAATGATCAATTCGCCCTCATCGGCAATGGCCATGCGTGTTCGGTAGATTGCTTTGTTTCCCAACCATGTCGAGTGAAACTCGTCCTTGTCCAAGTGCACCACAACTTTGGAGGGTGCTGTATCCAACATGGTAAAGTTGACCTTTAAGGAGAGATCACACGCTTTGTTGTAGCATTCAATATCATTGCCAATGAAGAGACCCTTCACCTCCAATTTCCCCGTGCTCTCATTGGCCCCAATCACTGTTAGAATGTACCACAGATCCAACTCTTGTAGGAACTGCTCACTGGCATGATTGAGTATGGAACGTAGTGGATTGGATGCTCGTCCCATCATTTTTTCCATGCCATACACGGCCCCAATAAAGTGAGACAAATTGATGGCTTCCACTCCACCAGCCTGATATCAGAATGGAGCAAGAGGCACGAACCATGCAGATCCATGATGAGCTTTTGTCAACGTGAATTGATCAAAAAAAATTTAGAGTTCAGGCATACGTACCCCTACAAACAAGTTCTTGTTGTAGTTGGCCATTCCCAGAACTGCCAGCGACAAGGAACAGGACAGCAACCAATTTGTGAGCTTGATATTCAAAATGATAATATTCACACTCAGCAAAAAATGCCTTACCTTCATGAGGGACTACCTGACCAATGGACAGTACCAGAGATTTGTGCTTTTGTTTTTCTGGATCATGTTTTCGTTTCTCCCAGACAATCTTGTTGAGTTGAGCAGGCCACGGTTCGTCTACCATGCCTCTGGTAGCATCGAGGACCATTTGGTTGGGAACATGTCCAATGGTTACTACATCATTTCTCCAATCATGAACCACAAATGGATCCTTTTCTTTGAGTTGTGTGCCATACATGGACTCAATCTGCGTTGGCGTCATGGGCGCATGTGTGCCGAGAGCTGGGAGGATGGTAATGTTGGTTTGGCAACTACTGCTCTTAGTGGCACTGGCATCCGCAGTAGACGGCTGCTTGAAATCGCCCTTGACGATAAAATTGTAGTACTCGCACACCATCTGCGTGATTTTTCCAGCCTGGGAAGGAAATCTCGTGTAGTCGGGAGGAATGATCATGATGTCGTCTCTCTCGCCCATCTTTTCCAGAAAGGCATCAATGTGGCCACGGATCTCGTCATCCGTCAGGGCTGATGCCTCGGAGCCAACACTACAGATGAGTGAAGCAGGATCGTTCGGCATGGCAAGAACAATGATGGAGACAGAAGGCAGAACAAGCTAGTCAATTATTAAATTGCAATCTCCAGATACAAGAGAGAACGACGAAAAGACTGCTGCGATGATGCTATACCATACCGGTACAACCGGATGAAATGAGGTGTGGAAAGACGACCGTGAGCAAAAGATCCAAAAATGAATAAATAAATGAATAAATAAATAAATATTCGACATCTTCGCAGGAGCCGTTCCACCCTCAGCAACAAGATATTGCAGCTAGCCGCTAGCTATCTGGCTTCCCATCCAACGCTACTGAACGGTACCAGTAGTAGTTAGTTGCGGGCTGTACCGTGCTGTACCGGTACGACACCAGACATGCAAGGTGGAGCCTACCGGTACGAGTATTCGCCACGAGCACCAGTGTAAGGTTCAAAAGAAGCCCGGGGCGCAATCATCGTCGGCACGGTACTGCCCGGGGTTGTGACAATCCGTTGACTTGCCACAGTGTAGGACTGCTGGCTGGACAACTCTCGTCGTTACCATCGCGTTGTCGCCATGCTGATGCAGTGCGACTGTGCTCGAATGGCTTTTCGTCGTTCCAGCAACTGCGACAATGGCTGGTAGCTACATGCAACGTCCATGACGGACGACAGCCTTGGTCATCTCTTCTTTGTTCGTTGGTCGTCGCGTCGAACCGGAAGCAACAAGGTGAAGTACCGCACCGACAGCAATTTGCCGAAGACAACACAGGACGAAGCTGTGTCGTCAGAAGCAACGGCCGAGGTACGGCACGCTGTACTGGACGGAAGCAACGTTTCGGCGCGACGAACCCCCTGGGCTGGATTGACGAGGAGGACACCAAGAGCATAACCATCGCTCGTCAGACGTAAAGGGGATGTAAATCTCCTGCGTCTAGCTATAGAGAGGGGCCAAGAGAGCGACGAGAGGCATCAAGTCCGATATCATGCGTGCATCGAAAGCCGATACGACGTGTGGGTCGAAGACAAAAACACAGCCCCCTGGTGGTGCGTTGCTTTGTGGCAAGTTAATGAGGGCCACGACGCCCATCATTGCCGACCGAACACCAGCAAACTCAGGCAGCCAAGCACGTTTTCATTCATCGCGTGCTGATACCAGCCATTCCCAAGTCCAATTGACAAACATGGCTGAAGGGGCTGCATGGAAGCAAGGCTCCCTGGCTGGTTCTTGGAGTCTACCAGGAGGATGAGGATGTGGATATGAGGCAAAGAAGGTCAGACAAGAGGTGGCGCTACCGACACTACCGTAGCACTAATAAAAAGGCCAGCAGAGGCCACGCGTGGACCCGGCGCCACACCGAACCTACCGTACGCCGACTAAAACTAAAACTAATCCTGCGGCTTTCCTCTTTTCCTGAGCCTAGCTATCGTTCGAATGCCTTCTCGGGAATTCAAACGGAAAGCTTACCGGTACATGTATGCACGAAGAAGCCAAGGAATTCTATGCATACAACAGGACTCGACTCATACAGGTACTGGTAGCTCGTAACCAGCAAACATACTGAGTAGGCGCCTCAAGCTTTTTGAATGTGAAACTGAACTGCAGCTTCAAGTGTTTCGCACGACCTTGACCGCTCTTGGACTCCCACAGCTAACTCGGAATGGTCGGTCGTGTCATGGTCCAGTATCCGCGAGTTAAAGCAAACCATCCCAATACCAGCGTCACCTGGTAAATCGTATGGTACCGGTACTACTAGTATCGTGTTACGGCACATGTACGATGTACGATGGTACCAAAACCATGACATCATCTGATTCTTTTAATTAATAAGTGCTGGAGTCACGAACCTCAGCTTTATACCAGTAAGCTGTCGCCAAAATTCCAGAGCATTCGGCACCTTACAGCTTTAAGTCACCAGATACGTTGACTCGCATCCAATGACATATGAGTGAAATATACTTAGCCAAAAAGAGCACTCCTGAATTGCTCAATGCTTTTTTCGTGGGACAGAAAAAGTCGCATTGTTAAATGAGAGCATGTACCGTAACCGGGGGGTCATTGTCAATTAATCTCCTTGGATCTGTGCACTTTGATAGTACTCTGGTACCATCAACCCTGAAATTAATACCAGTCAAAGATGAGCCAGAAACCAAGTTGCGTCAGAAGACGGATTCCAGTCGCGTCCGCAACAAACGTTTAGCTGTTTCGAAACACCTCAAAGAATCCGAATTGCAAAAGTAAGTTACTAAAAGTTTCAAGGCTGCAGGCAGAAAGGAGAGCACAATTTCATCATTGAGAGATTGAGAGATCGACTGTGGAGCCTGACTGCAGGTCATCTTACGATGGAGCTTGCCAATTGCTTACTGGTTGACAAACTCTGCAAATGTCAACTTGTATGATTCATCGTTGACATTGACAAGCGATAGCACTTGTTCATTATCTTGGAAAAGCCGTATCGTTACCGGTAGCTCCCATCAAAAACATCGGGAGTCCGAGATGCCAGTTCTTCCTCACAATGATGTATGTACCCGCTTTGTTCCAATGGGTTGGAGATAATGCTTGGTGAAGGGTTCAGATGAGCTCGTTGCTTCCCTTCCATCTCCCGCATGAAAACAGAAATGGTGATACCCTTGATTGTGCCTGCCGCCAACAGTGTCAGCTGCCACGGCCACAATGCAGCCATCGCAACAACATGAAGCTGCAGCCGGCGATGACAACGTTCAACAAATGATCGAAGCTGGTCGAGTCTCCGTAGGCAATGTCTTATTCCCATGATTGCATCACCCTTTCCAGTTGCGATTTCCTGTTGCATTGCTACGGAGCAAGCTCAGCAGTTGAAGGCAGTGACCACACTAAAGTCCCATGTTGTCAGCATCAGGAACCTATGATCTCAGACAGATACTTGCCACCGAGCTGAAGATTCGTCGAGTCAAGATGAAGCCCATTGGTTCCTCCCTTCCAGGTTGCTGCCAAGCTCTACCAACGAAGCAATGGTTTCACCGACAGCCTGTTGCTTTGTCACAGGAAGGAGCGGTCGTGGCTCCTTCTCAGCCACAGTGTTGCGGATAGAGCCCAGTGGTCGTCGATGGAGACCGCCGGAACAAGTACATTACGATTGAAAACTCTGGCTCCTACGATACGATACTGCAGTGAATAAGACCGCGGATGGATGAAGCAAGAGAGAACAACAAGCAGTTTATCTACGACGGGCATGCGAGGTTTTGGGAAATCTGTTTTGAATTATATACATTTTGTTTGGTACAGCATTTATCCATGCAGGGAGATGAACAATGAATTATGTATTGGGACGCCTAAGCGAGCTAAGATTGTTGCTGCGCTTGTTGCTGCTGTTCGACGAGACGGGACCAGATCAAGTCCAAGAACTCCTTGTGGCCAGGAGTCTTTGGTTGATAGTTCTCACGGCCATGGAGGACTTCCAGGAGCTCCTTGGTCTCCTGAGGGCAGGCAGTGCAACGCACCAAGTGCTCATACAGATCATAAATCTTGGTGGGCAAGGTGCGGCGACGGGCTGGGAAGATACGGCACTGCCCCATGCGTCCCAGCGAGCAGCAATGGCGACAAGCAAAGCCGGGCAAACCCAACTGCAAGCTCTTTTTGTTGCCACGTTGTTCATTGGCCTGGAGACGCACGCGACGAGCCTGAAGCATGAGCGTGTACAAGAAGTCCGAGGCGACGGAGCGGTCATTGGGAGCCACCAACGGAAGAGGACTGGACTCTTCTCCTCCGCGACCAGTGGCGGGATTGGTTCCAAAAGGAGGAAGGGCACGAGCAGCCGTGGTTGTGGCTGGGGTCATGACGATACCATCCTCGGAATCGACCATACCCAACTTGCGGGCACTGTAGATCCAGTACTGCTTCGAGTCAGTGGCACCTTGGGTTGTTTTGCTCTTGAGGGCCAAGAACTTTTCCTTGAGGGCCGGAGGCACTTCGGTGCAGGAGCTGAAATGAGCTCGCAACATCATGGTGAAGCTCTGATAGATCTGCGCAATGGAGGAGGGGAAGGCGCTGGAACGCTGCGCACGGGCGCTAGGGTTCAGGTGTGCACAGCAGCGGCATCGAATTCCAACTTGGTGAGACGACACACGGTTGCTAGCGTTGCGTAGAGCCACATCTTCGCTACTGGCCCAGCAGAGTTCGACAAGATTCTTGCGGACAAAGACGTGAAAGTCGGACAACCAGTTGGGATCTTCGTCAATGCCGAGAGCAATGGGGGCTCCAGACTCGTCAACGCCAACAACAGCGCTGTTGTTCACAGCAGCAACGGCTTGGGGGACATTGGGTAGCATCGACGGCTGGGAGCGGAAACTGGACATTCCAGCACTCCCCAAACCGGGACCCGCATTGATAGCCACACCTTGGAGACGTTCCGCGCTGTGATGACTACTGTTTCTTGAGGAACCCGAGACTGGTAAGCAGCCTTGGAAGGCATCACCGGTCGGTCCCAATACTGGATTGGCCTGCTGTTGCTGGTGGTGGAAGCGAGCTGTCATGGACTGTAGTGTGTCGGCTTGAGGCAAAGACAGCAGAGCAGCCAGAGACGCTTGAGAGTTCCCCCCTTGTCCCGCGGCGGCAGCAGCAGCAACCGCTGCGCTTGGATTGGTAGCAGCAGCACCAGGGAGTTGATGTCCAGCCAGGCTTGCCAAACCAAAGGCAGGGGGCGCTGCCAGGGAAGTAGCCAAAGAGTTTAGGCGCATTTGAGGGGAGTTAAAGTAACGCGAAAGAAGCTGCCTTTGGGCCAGCTCAGCGTGTCTATTTGCGAGACTAGAGGCTAGCAAACTGCTCTGATAGTCAGCTGCAGCAGAGGCGGCCATTCTCTGCTGGGCATCATGGGTAGCAGACACGCCCATCAGGCCAGTGGTGGAGTTAGTCAGGCTGCCCCTCAGGGGGTAGCCTTGCTGCCGAATAGGTGATCGACTGGGTGATCCTAGTTTCTCTTCCGCTGGCGACGGTGCCATTGCGGCGTGGGCCGTTGCTGCTACTGCAGCTGTACCTCGATAAGGTCTCTTGGGGTTTCCTTGTTGGAACTGGTGGTGATGGTGGGAGTTGTCCATCCCTGCTTCATCTGCCAGGCGCTTCCTGTCATTGCTTGAGGCATTCACAAAATGGTTCATGGCGTTGAAACCGAGGTCTGCGGGAACGTTGGTAGGAGACTGGGAGTCGTCGGAACTGGAAGAGCTGGTCCTTTGCTTTCTTGGGAAGTTCATTAGAGCACTGAACTTTGAACCCTCAATTGCAAGGCGTTGTTGTTGATGCAGTGAGGGGATTTGGAGCAACATTGAGCGATGGGCTGATGAATCCAATTTATGAGAACAGCTTCTGTTTGATAAAAATTTAATTGAGTGGAGGATTGACCTTGCTTGGAATCAAACGGTGGAGCTCGTGTGTGTGAATACTAACAAGCAGGATTTGTTATGATATAAGATTTCTGAACTGGTTCGTTGTCAGTTTGGCTTGTATCTACGGCTGAGGAATTCGCTTTACTTTTGGTCTATACCGGTGGTCTCATGTATCATGCATAGCAATGCGACGATTGGGATGATGGCCACTTGTCCCAGCGCCCAACCCAAGAAGGACGGTACGATTAGCCTGTGGCTGCCAGTTCACACTTCCCTTTTACCAAGGACGAATGAAAGTTAAGCCCCAGTATCGGCAAGGACCAGGGGCCGACAATACATAAGAGACAGTACTATACCCGTCACTGTAAGAGCTTTTAATGATTACCATGGCTTTCTAATTGACGATTTCACTAAATCCATGGAGTCTCGGAGCGACTATGCAGGTTACACTTTTGCCCTTTTACATCGACCATCTAACTAACTTAAGTCTATCTACAGTCCACAGTATCCAGCAGACGTGCGTTTAACAAGTCTATACTTGCTGTACAGTATGCGTTAAGCCCCGTCCTCTTACTGTGGAAACACGCGGAGGTGGAATGAACAATGAGAGTGCAGTAAGGTTTTCTTGCGTAGGGCTCTACGAGCATCACTTACTTGCTTGTTCGGTTACTATGTCATGTTCCAAGAGAAGACAGACGGTTCTCTCGGCCAAAACTCCCTTCCACGTATGTCTTAATACCTTACTTGAGGCCACCGTACAAGCTGATATATCTTCCTTGAAGTGGATGTTCGAAAAACAGGCCATAGGCAAAACCAAAGCTGTGGCAACCAAATTTATTTATACTACAATGTCATGTATTATTTATGCTGTATACAGACCAGCTACAGTCCCGTGTTTATCACTAAGCTAACAATTTTTTTCTAATGTGTTAAATCATCAAATCTCATTCAACCATTCAAGTCCACAATTGCGAGACAGTATCATTCTGAAGGCGTCCCCACCTTAACTGGATCTTGGAGGTCTCAATGTATCCGGTCAAACTTCTCCACTGGTAAAAACAAAGAGGAGTGTGGACTTTATAGAGCTAAATTTTTACCCAAATCGTGGGTAAATCCCCTGATTTCACCGGTAAGCATTAGCTACTGGTACTAATGAAGCTGACTGTCTAGAACAGTACCCTCAGCGTTTTACGCTTTGCTGCAAAGATTGACATAGCCTGTCGCGTGACTCTGCACGTGTTTTCTCTAAAAGTGAATTATTTATGTTCCTAGACTGCGTACAGCATCGAGGAGAGTTCTTGCAATGTTTGATGCTTACCGGTGAAATAATCTAAAATCTAATGCTTCGAAGATTGACGGTTGAAAGCCAGACTTCTTGGCAAGATGGCACCGAGGCACCGTGGACCTTCGCCGGTCTGTTGTAAAACTTGGTCGGAGCAGCAGAGCAAACCGTTTCGCTCGGGAACCAACAGCCAAGCATTGGAGGGGAGGTGGAAAGCAAAGAGATCGAGGAAAAGCGCGTCGCCACAAGAAGCAGAGCGGAAGCGCGGCGGAAGCTGAAGTTCTACAATTCATCCTAGATACCGCTCGCAGCGACCACTACATTTTATCTGCACGATCTTCTGTCGTGGTGGTGGGAATGGATACCGGTGGCCATCGCAACCGCTGCCTCGGCCTGGTAGCCTGCTGGGTACCGCTGTGCTGGTAGTCTCCTACCGGTACGGTGCCTAGCTGGCAGTTCGCGTTGTGGGACATGCTTACCAGTAGCTATGCTGTTGCTTTGCATGCCTCGAATAAAACAAAAAGTCAGGGAATGGGGAACTGGCGAAGTCCAGTTCTTTGCACCTTCCTTCCATTTTTGGCTGGTATAGACTTGAGCAGCATGCTTTCTGGCAGCTAACACTGGTAACTACAAGCCTTTGCCATGTCCTGCTTCGGGCTTCGGGACGGAACGACCTACCTCTTTTCCTAGTTTTTGGATACTTCACTCATCAGGAGAGGCACAGCTGCCACCATACCGGTATGAACTTGCTGCCAGCCGCCTCTTCTCTTGCCAGTTCCAAAGGATACTGGGCCCTGCCAGTCTCTGGTTTGCCCTTCCGGTTGCGTCCTTTGTTCTGCATCAATACTTCGCATAAGATGAAATAAAGCCCCTTCGGTAATACCAGCGACCTCAATCTCTCTCCCTGACTCTGAAACCCAAGCTAGCTAGCTAGCTAGGGCTCGAGTGACTGTCTCTGACCCCAGCCACACGTTCTTTCGACTATCATCGCTCTCTCCTCTTCGACCCAGCGGTAAGGACAGGAGTACAGGAGAGTACATTACTCCGTCCAAAAAGCGCTACAGTGGTACCAGGTACCACACATGTGCAGTACAAAAAGTACATGACATTGCATGTACTAGCTACTAGTACGCGTTGATGCACATGTACGTGTACGTGTGGTACCATACATAAAAAACATTTGTCGGAACAAGCTGTGATTACATCATGTCTGGGGAAATACTAGTATTCTTGGAACAGCTCTTGAACTAACGGCATGTATCTATGCATACCGGTACTAGCTAGTAAGGGTCACCGCTTGGTGCCGCTGCATCGTTAGCTAGCTAGTTCACATCAGAGGTACCTGGTACTACCTGGTATCCAATTCATAAACCTCCACAAGTTCACACTCTTTATCTTGTTGCCACCACCATACACCGGAAAATGTGATAATCTCCCAGCATTCGTCACCTTGTTATGAGCGATCCCGACTCTATCAACGACTCTCAACCCCCAGCCAAGGCACAATAAACCTGATTTCAATAGAAGCTACCTGGTGGCCAACGACGCTAAACCCAGCGAAATGTTCGAAGTACTTCAGTTTGAGTGAATGAGTATCGGACTTGGTGACCTGGCCAAAAAGCAAGTGATAAGTAGCTTGGACTTGCTTGTGGTGAGCCCTGAGGAGTGTAATCTGGACCCTTCTCAATTCTAACAACATCATACCCTCCCTGGTTCCACTGATTCGGCTTGCACATTGTAGGGTTGCCAGGCTCCGATGGCAGCAGGTCCCCACCTTGCCTTTAAAGCTTTCAATGTCATCTGACGCCAGCCTTTCAAGCTCGGAGCGAACAGTCAAAGACACAAGGATGGGTGGGGCAAGGGTAAGACATTGGTTGGTCGGTACCTCTCTTTCTGAGAATCAATTGGTTTCGCTTATAACGATCAAAGTAATCGGCCTCGACTACCCATCCCAAGAAGGCTGGGTTACTGAGACGACATGCATCAGAATACAACTGTCTAATTGCATGCTCGCCTCCTTGGTGTACGAGCATTTATTTGTGTAGCATGCTCACTGACCATACAATAGCTAACCATGCCCCCCGCGGCTGCTGCAAAGTACAGATGCATCTTCGCCTTGCTACTCTTCTTTGGTCCCAAACGAAAGTCCAGGATACCCAACGCGTCACCTGCTTCTTCAACGCTATAACAGATCGCTTGCTACGTATCTGCTGTTGTCAATCCCAGCATCCATCGTGCGGAACCTCCCGTTGTAAAGTACTTCTGCGTAACAATTTCTGAGATGGACACCTTCAACGCACCATCACTACCACGCTTGTTGACTGGCCACTCTTTTGAGAATATTTCCCTGTGGTCTTTGAAAAGATCAGTTTCAGTTTTCAACCCATCTTTGTTTTTCGAAGGAAGCGTGCTTTGTTCGTATTCGTTTACATGTAATCCATCCCTCTTGTTGAGAATAGTGGTACATGTAGTCCTGTCGGATTGTTTCCAACGGTGGTTGTTTTCGCTGCCTGTTGCTGTGGATGATGCTGTGCTGTTGTTGTTGGTGATGGCCACCACAAGACACTTTTGAAGGGAGTGACTGATCGAGTCAGTTATCTTAACGTAAGGGGTTTGCAAATTAAGGAGGTACCACCCGGTCTGGCATTCAGTCGTTAGTAACCCGGAAATCTCTCGTGTTATTTTTCCTTTTATCGAGCGTTTTGTATCAACCGACCATGATCCAAAGCAGTTATATGGCTGCCGCTGCCGTTCGTTGCACCGATCACGTAGAGACCCGTGCAGTGGTTCTATGCGTAGGCAATAGGCACTGCTGTTAACTTCCCCCCTGCTGGATAGTAGCTGATGCCTTGTACCTTCAGAACAGTGGTAGCCAGTGTTAGCGATCGCAATAGAGGTTGTTATCCTTGGCAGCATGTCGCTTACACGGTACACCGATCAGTAACGATCCAACCCAATGACCTCCTGTAGAGCACGAGCATAGCTTCCATTCCCTATGTCCATACCCTCATTGGTGCACCGGAAGCCCTTGAACGGAGACCACAACGTACATCATTGTCTGTTGTCGAAAATGGCAGTTTGTTGTTGTTGTGGAGTCCGAACCATCGCGAAAAGCAGCAACAAGCAGAGCCAGCCGGATAGGAATCTGCATTTCCCATGTTGTGAAGAAGCCATTAGCTGGTACTTATTTCACGGCAAAATTCTCCGTAGGATAGAAGTTGGATAATAAAACGGCCATTGAATCAGAATCAGGATGACAGTCACCTCAATGGTAGTAGTTGAGCATACAGGAGCGGCGTCTCCTGATTATGTGTCCAGCTTGGCCTTCAGCCACCAGACTACTCCTGCCTGGAGGAAGACTGAGAGTGGGTATGAGATGTCGCGTGAGATGAACCTGCACGACGCGGAGAGTAATGAAAAGAGAGATAATGAGGATTCCACTATCTATTTTGCAGAACAATTGCTTGTTGTTGATAGCTTCAAGCACCAACGTACCTTTGGAGATTTGCCGACTGACCTTGTTTGCTTGGTGCTTGCTGATGGTAGCAACAGCCTCATCTATGCATTCTGCAACTCAGCCTTGAGCCACCAGTTGACCGTTGACAATGAAGACATCAGCCGCGGAAGCATGTTGACCATCAGCAAGTCTGATGCGATTTGGTATCAGCAGTTTCCCAAAAGAATGCGCTGTGCTCTTATTATCTTTGACAAGAGTTGGCAGCATCCTCCCCACGTGTTGAATAATCCGCACGCTGGACCAACTGTTTGGACACGCTTCCGAACGGAGGATGTGCACTTGTGTCGACACAGGAAGGAAATTGTCTTCATGACCAAATTCAAGCCAAGTAACTATGAAAACTTCAAGTGCCTGCGTCCTGAAGCTGCAGGACAAATGGTAGCAAGGGCAAACAAGGATGAGTTTCACAATGCTTCTTTTGTTTTGATCGAGACTGTGAGGAATAATGTCAGCAATTCCATGATGGAAACGTACCTTGGGATCGACGAGATACCAGAAGATTATGACCCAGAGGATGAAGTGGATGACAAGCCCCGTCGGTGTGATTGTGTGGAGAACATGGCCTGATGCTGTGTGCCAAAGTCCAAGCTCCACTCAATTTGGTGGACAAGAATGATCTTTACCATTCCTTGCAGAAGTACATCGTGAAGAAAACCAATGTCCGGATCTACAGCGAGACATTCAAGGGCTGACCCAGTCTCACAAGCGATGGTGTTCCTACTTCTGGTATGCGGTGAATGTTTATCAGTTTGAAGTTGCCACGCCATTGCCTCGATATGTTGTCAAATCTATTTGGCTGTTGTACCCAAATTTCGATAATGCGGTGAAGGCTACTGGTTTCAAGACAACTGAGGAAAGAATCGCGGAAAGGGCAACCAAGAAAGCGCGCACTGCCAAGTCTTATCACTAGACCAACGCAAAGAATGGCCCCGTTTGTTATTGAAAAAGAATCGAAAAAGATCAGCGATGTAACAACAAGTTACTGTGTTCGCTAGAATTGAGGAAAAGTCTACAGTCGGACAGTGTAATCCAATTACTTAGATACTCATACTATTTGTCACTTTACCTTTCTGTCTAATCGCTTTCCGCTTCCGAAAGATCTTCAACTCCGGCCAATCCCTGTACCTCGCTGGTAACACGTTCTGTGTCTTCGCCAAAGTCAATGTAGTCTACCAACTCTAAGGTGGCAATAGCGATGTCATGCTCGCTTATCTCTCTTTGTTCCTCCGTTGGAATGGCCACCTCGCACTCCTGCATGGTTTCCACATTCGACTGAGTAGTGACTCTCACATTCAAGGCCTTTGGTTTTCCGTGGTTGATGCATCCTTTGAAGCTGGATCGTGAGTGACCGATTTCACCACAACTGCCACACACTTTTGTACTCGCATCTTTATTCTTCGAAACTTTTCTTTTCTTTGTTGCTTTTTTGGTTCTGGCAATGGCGATCCCAGAGGAATACAAGCGGCCGTCTTTCCTATCCTGTTGGAGTTTTTGTTGGTAGTCCTTTATCTTCTCGTAAGTTTCGCGGTTTCTCTTTTTCTTGTACTCCAAGGTTCTTCTCTTACTGATTCTTTTCTTTCGATATTCTTCCTGTTGCCGAAGAAAGTAGGCCGTCCCTTCCTCCATTTCAAGACCAATTGTGTCGAACAACCGGCGAAAGAACTCTTCTACACCCAACAGAGTGATGCCGACGGCTATGCATACTCGATTCTGCAATGATAATGAACCAGCATACACTTTGTTCTTTGGAGCTAGCCAGGCAATTGTGTTGTTCAGCGACTCATTCGCATTTGTTGACATGAAGTGGTTGGATTCTTCAGTCTTTCCATCGTGGTAAATGAATGATGGGTTCAAGCAAAGACTCGTATAGAGCTTTGTCTTTTGTCCTGCATCGTACACTTTTCCGCACTCACTCCTTTCCTTTTCTGTCTGCTTCTTCCGCAAACAAAAGTCCCACAGAACTCGTGTTGTCGAATGTGTGTTCCAGTAAGCCTTTGCAGCTGCCACCCACTGCTCTTTGAGAGTGATGGCAATTTGCGAAGAACATACACGTAGTAAGTTGTCACTCGAAGGATATCGCCGGCAGTCAAGTCAAAACTTTTCTTAACTCCCTGTCCTTTCAACGCATACAGATGATTGCGAAGAATCTTCTTCCTGTGGGCTGGATCAGCAACGAACAGTGGTTGCGGAATTGGGTATCGGAGATGACCATCTGTCCTGGTTCTCGGCTTTCCCTTTTTCGTGTATCCAAGGATGGGGAGTTAGTCCAAGTTGTGGTGTGCCAGCCAGTCTTTGTTACTCCATTTGCAATGGGCCTTCATCGTGGAGTCGTCATCGGTACAAAGTTTTGCAATCTCCAAATTGTACAAGTCATAGATCTCCTCCACCATGATCAAAAGAGATGCCGGTTCCATACCACCAGAACTCCCCTCATAGTTGATTGTGCACTGATGCTCTGGTACATCGAGTCCACGGCTGAGGTGGTATTGACACTTGCGGCAGAACTTTGATCGTTGACAGATGCAGATTGGTTTTCCAGTCATTGCCCCCATGATACTTGCATTGCCTGAAGGTGAGTTGTACGCTCGTCCGCTTCCCTTCTGATTCCACTCCATGTCCATTCCGCCATTAACAACTGCTCTCATCACTGGATTTCGAACAGCTGCCTCCCATTCCACAAAGTTGAAGTTGTCGGCATGTGCACTCCTTCGAACTTCTTCCACCAAATTGTCCACGATGGCCTTGTGACAAACCTCCCGTATGTAAGGAGCAAGTGACAACTCGATATTCGAAAAGGATTTCTTGGACATTGTGGTGTAATTGGGTAAGTTCAACATGGCAAGTGTCCGCTGTGCCTCCACTCCGCCATCCCCAGACCAAAGAAAAGCTAACACAAACTGTATGTTGCAGGAATAGTCAAGGTTCCGTGCATGTTGAGTCTTCTTTGGCAAGGATGTCTTGGCGACCGGTGAACTCTTCGTGGAGCCAAATGTCTCGCACTCTTTGTTGGAACAAGACAATTGCCCAACAGAGGTTACACAAGTAGTGCTGAATGTAAGTTCGACACTTGGTTGCTTGCATGTATAGCATCGAGTTGAAGTATTGACCAATTCAGACAATCCTTTGTGTTCGAGGATAAGCCTTCTTGGAGTTGGTGGCTTCTTCCTTGTTGGTTCATCCGGTTGGGTCGCTAAAGGTGTCTCCGCCATGACATCTTTGGAAATGATCAGCGGCGATGGTGTTGCCTTTGGTTGTTCTCTCTTCTTTGGAGCACCCATATTCAGTTTCTCTTTTTCCCAACCAGGTAGCTTGCTGACAATGTCCTTTCTTGATCCGGAGGCTAACTTGTTCAACTCTCTTTGGTGTACGCTGGAAGCTCTCACGGAGCTAAGGGTATTGGAACACTCAGCTGGCCTGATACCACGTTGCCTATCACTTTGTCTTACTACATCGGGAGTAGCATACTCAGGAACAACAACAGCAACAGAATCCTCTGTTCCTGTTACCTCACTCATGTTTGCCGTTGTTTACTTTTGACGCCAGTTGGATGCCATGGTGCAAGATAAAAGCTAGGTAAAATAGAAAATTCCAAAAAGAAGGATTCCATCTGCTAGCTATTTGGCTGTGATCGAGAATGATGACGGAGGAGGTCTTGGTGTATGCTACACCATGGATATCTATTTTATCAAAAGATTGGTGACTGATCTGAACAAACTCGGGAGTAAAACCGGGTGGTACCTCCTTAACAAATCTTCTGTTCTGACTGTCACTCGTCAGTGCATTCCCAAAAATCAAACCAAATAAATATTGGGGGGTCAACTGTCAACTCAGGAAAACAAGCTTTGCAGCTTAGGCCTTAGGTAGTTGCGGTAAAAAATAGATTCCGGTTGTAATCAGTTTCTAGCTAGTATCTTAACGTAAGGGGTATTGCAGTAATCTTTCAATTATCGTAGAAAGGATATTGTGGTACTAGTCGTCTCCGCAATGGTTGAATTACGCTGTACTCTGTTCAACCTGTCGCCGTCGCTCTGCTTTGGAATAGGAAAAAGGTCGCATCCTGGCCCCGGACGTCACCCCCAAGAATACAGTAGGAATTAGGAAGAAGTGACAAGATCTGTTCTTCGTTGTCAATTGACTCTTCACTGTTCCAATAGCAGAAAGAAAGATTCTTGGGCAGTATTTCCCTAAGTCGTGACGGTGCAGCAACTCGTGGATACAGCAATTGGATCTTTGCTTCAGCAAAGCTGGACTCTCTTCTCACAATCCTCGAACCTCGAACAATAACTAATCAACAACACAAACAAAACAAACAAAACAAACAAACTCTACCACAACAATGGCGTCTACCAACACATCAGTCATCGTCTTTGGATCAACTGGAGCAATTGGCACCAGCCTTATCGAACTCCTTTCCAAAGAGCATCCGGATTGGCAGATCAAGGCTGTGACCCGATCTATCTCTTCCAAGAGCCGTCTCGCGGAGATGGGTATCGAAAACGTTACCATGGTCGAAGGTGATCCTTTCTCGAAAGAAGACGTTCTGTCCCTCACAAAAGACTGTGAGAAGATCTATTGCTGCGTTGGTTTCCACAAGTATGAAACCAAATATTGGGCCGTCAACTGGCCCCTTGTCGTCGACAATCTGCTCGCGGCTACAGTGGCGGGAGATCAGAAACGCCAACTCATCTTTTGTGACAATCTGTATGCCTACGGTCCCGGAAGTAACATTAGCGAAAAGACGCCCACGATTCCACCGTCACTCAAGACAAAACCTGCCATTCGCAGCATGCTCCGTCAAAACATGCTAGAGCACATGAAGGCTCATCCTGGAACACTCACGGTGATTGGGGCCGCCGACTTTTTTGGTCCCCACTTGACAGAGACAAGTTTGTTGGGAGACCTGACGACGGGAAAAATCATGGCCGGAGAATCACCCATGGCGCTGTGTTCTGCCAGTGTGATTCATGATTTTTGCTTTGCTCCAGATTTCGCCAAAGCAATGGCTATTGCCAGCGTTTCCGAGAAAGCATATGACAAGTTTTGGATTTGCCCCCACTCTGTGCATGGCAAGACAATGACAGAAATTGCCAATGACATTGCCAAAGTTGTCAACGGTAACAAGGCGCCAGAAAAGCCTGTCAAAGTGACGGCGCTACCGGCCTTTGCCCTCGCAATTTTGGGCGTATTTCAAACTCTCATGGCTGAGCTGTATCAAATGAGAAACTTTTGGAACTCGGACTACACCATTGACGATTCCAGCTTTCGCCGCGAGTTTGGTGTGGAAGCGACGCCTTACGATGAAGCGTTGGATTCTGTGGTTGGCTTCTACCGTCAAAATCAAAAAGTGGAGAAGTAGACACGGAGAAAGTGTTCTTTGTGTTGTTTGTGTGAAAGGAGCTGCGTGTACTCTATTTGAATTTGTTGAAATATATACGATTACTAAGAAACGATTTGTCTCAAAAACTATGTCTGCCTGTCGTTCAGGAACATCCATTAGTTCGTTTCTACCGCTACGGTAGCGTGAAGCAGTGTATCTCTTAAGCTGTCCTGTTCTGCTCCTGTCGCAATGGCAGCCCAAAGGGACTAATTGCAAAGACGCTTTACATAGAAAAACTGTCACGAGGCATGTTCCGGAATCTGGGCAGCCAAATGCTATGGCTACGATAGCTGGCAAATTCAAGCTCCGGTGGCTCCGTTTCAGTACATTGCTACCAGGAACGAGAAAAGCAGAGAAGACTCGTCTCGTAAGCAGTGCATGTTCATAAATGTTCAAAGAGCAGAAAGCGGCCTTAAAGTCAACTTTAGTGTATATTGTGATGTGGAGACGTCAGGCTGTGGAGCAGCTCCTGCACCCACATTCAACATTCAGTTCGTTCAAGACATCGTTCGGTTTGCACCAATACTCAGGCGGTGAACCTGGCATCAACGCAGAATGTATAAAAAGTAGTGTGTGTAATTCAACCCCAACCAAAGCAACCAGCCATTGGAGCAGTTAGTTGTCTCCCGCCTTCTTCAAGGCGAACTTTCCCTTTCCATGGCAGCAACATTGTTTGAAGAAGTCGTGGCAACAGGAACAGATTTCCTTGTCACAATCAGGACAAGCATATACCTTGTTACCGGTACATTTCGAGCAAGTGACTGTTTCGCATTCTGCGCACTGAAACATCTTGAGGCAGACTGTGTTGGCACAATCCTCGCATGACGCCGGATCGCCGTGGGCTAAGCAGTGACGCTCGTCACACCCAGAACAATAGTAAGACTTCTTGCATTGGCGACAAAAGAATTCTTCACAGCGGCTGCAAAAGAAGGAGTCCTGGCAGTCAGAGCAAAATGCGTAATTACACTGGCCGCAGAAAAAAGAGTCCTCCATGGCACAATCAAAGCATCCCAAATCCGCGGAGCATTTTTCACACCAAAGGGTGGGGCGACACTCAAGACAAAAAGTTCGGTCACAGAATTCGCAAAAACCCACCGGAGTGCAGTCGTTTCGTTCACAAAACCACTTGGCACACAGGTCGCAAGCGGAAAATTCGCAGCAACTCTCGCAACCCAATTGCTTGCAACTTCCGCACCCGTGCACTTCTTCCTTCGGAGAAAATTCCGTACAGTCGGGACATCGCTCAAAACCAAACTCTTCCTCCACACAGTCTTCGCACTCTCCTTTGAACTTTTTGGTGTCATTGGTGATGACATCGTCGGCAATTCCTTGTTGCTTTTCTTTTCGTGCAATGTGATTTTGTCGACGTCCAACCTGTGACTCTAGTTTGCTGCCGTGTTCCTGACAGTAGTACTTTTCCAAGTGGAAATGATTCTTGAGGCATTCCACAGCAAGGCACTTTATGACGGAGCAAAGGAAAATCAGTGATGAGCGAGCGGCAAATGGGAACAACGAACCGCCGCATTGTGAGTTGTAAGTTTACCTGGAGGATATCTTTACGTTCCAAGAATCCAAGCACTTGTTCGGCTACGACATGACAGGAGAGTCCTGAAGAAAGGAGAGGGCTTGCATTGTTGGCGCGGAGGGTTGCAGCGGCAGAAACGTGATCCGTCATTGTCTTCCTGTTGGCTTTGGAACCAAACTATGGATTTGACTGGGTTAATCGGCATTTTGTCTGTTTGGGAAAGTGTTTTGGCCATTAAGTGATCCTTATGTAAATGTCTACACACTGTTAGTAGACAATAGTAGACAAAGTAGACATTGTGCGACTTTAGGAGACATTAGTAGACAAAGTGATACATTGTAAGACATTGGTAGACAAAGTGAGACATTGTGAGACGTTGTGAGACATTGGTAGACAAAGTGAGACATTTTTGTACTGTTTTACTGTACTGTGTAGACAAAGTGAGACATTGGTAGACATTAGTAGACAAAGTGATACATTGGTAGACATTGGTAGACAAAATGAGACATTGTGAGACATTGGTAGACAAAGTGAGACATTGTGAGACATAAGCCATTTTTTCTAAGGAGCACAGAACATTTAGGCAACTCTGTAATCAGATACAATAGCTTAAATAGACAGAATGCCGAGTAACCCTGGGCAACGAAAGATCTTCGTTTGAGTCCTGAGTTAATTCGTGACTGAAACCAATGACACCGATTTCGGCTGTACGGTGTAGATCTACTGTGTGTACCTGGTACTGGTACTAGTACTCGTACCGGTACGATAGCGCCCATGATCAACAATCTTTTCGAAGCTAGTAGTCTATCTGATGCATAGCGTCTCATTTATCAGGGCTGTTTTCGTATTGGAAACTAGCTAACATGCAGCTGTGCCCTTACGCATGCCATCATACTGTAGCATCTAGCGCCTTGGAAGTTCTCCGGGAGCAGGTGTTGTACTATTAGGCAGCAATGGTGCAAGTCCAGCGGAATTGCTTGGTTTTGGTTGTATTTCGTGTAGTAGGGCTTGTGGCAGGTCCCAGTGCTGATCCAGGTGTTGACATTGCAATGATCTTAGAGTTGGTTCAGGCGCTACCGGGGAACAAGACTGGTTTGGTCCAGGATTGGATCCAGGTGTTGACTAACTAGGCAATGATGTTGGCCTGGTAATGGACGATTGATTGAATCATTCGGGAATTCTTGGCCGAGGAGATGGGCTTGGTTTCTAGCGGTAGAAAGTACGTCTGCTGTAGCCTGGTATTTGGTCGCGGTGTTGATCTTGGCGTTCGACCTAGTGTAGTTTCTTGGTGCTGAGTGCGGTGGATGTTGGTGGGCCTGGTTTTGGTTCTTGGGTTAGTTTGTAGAGGTGACTATCGGGGTGCGTGTGACGAGTAGACTGGCCCTAGCGCCGGTCCTGACGCTGGGCTTAACCTAGCCACAGTAGTGGTCGATGCGCGAGATTGGCTTGGTTTGGGTGTTTGTTCTTGACGACGAGAGGGGCATGGTGCGGGACCTGCAGTAGTCTTTATCGAAGCTCGTCAAGAAGTCCAACAAGCAGAGATACAATTAGAGCAGGTGGCTTGGCAGCTCGCTTCAGCAGCTTGGTGACTAGCTACCGTAGCCAGCCCCCGTATTGCATTGTTGGCTCTCTCTTGACGGTTTGCTGGCTGCCAGCTACAGTACCAGTGGCTACGGCTACACATCGGCTGAGGCGTCCTTTAACGTCTGGCCGTCACTACACCCTCTGGAAATCATCTAAACGAGTGAAATACCATCATTAGGGTGCAGGATATCTTCATATCCCCACATCGCTCCTCACAAAATAGACGTAAAAGATAGCTTTCCACTGCTGCCACTGCTCTGCCACTGCTGCTACTTGTGTTGAGTGTTATCTGTTGGGTTCTGGTGGCTACAGAGATGGAGGATTGGGCTGTGATGACTTTTTTGGCCTTGTTATCCCACACGAAATTATTATCTTTTGGATCATGTGTCGAGCGGTTCCGTTCCGTACGCCGTGCTCGGCCGATCGGATTCATTCAACTTTGCCGCGGCTTTCAGGAGAAGGGGCTTGCAAGAAAAGATGATAGAATGCTAGTATTTGCTGTTATGCTCTCGCCATGGGGAAGCGTCGCTCGAAGAACAGTGCTGCGGATGCAGAAACGCCCAGCAAAAGCGCCGCTCCACTTGCGGACCAGACAAATGCTTTCTCCCCTGTGTTTGCATCTCCGCCTCCAAAGAGAGGACTTCTCTCATTGACAACACCAAATTTCAAAAAGGGTGGTCTGTTCAAGTCTCCTGCCAAAGAAGTGCAAGCTCCAACACTGTCTGTTGGATCACAGACGATTAGTTTGAACAAAAAATCAGTTGCCATCCAAACGGATCCGCTTCCCTGTCTGAGCTTTGAGAATGAAGTCATTGCAAGGGATCCCAGTCAACAACTTCAACAACAAACTTTTGATACCCTATCTGCATTGCATTTGCAGCAAAAGAATAAGGACTATGTCCGGCTGTCAGCTCGACACGGGCAGCAAACCTATTTCAAGATACCAAACTCGCGCATCCGTGCAAGCAAGGACCCATCTCGACAATCTTGTAAGAAGCTCAGCAGGCAATCTACTCTCATTTCGGGACTCTTTCAACGCCTATTTGGAGCCAGTATGCAGCAGATTCTTCCAGCAATCTTGACCAGCATTGGCAAGCAGTTTCGTTTGGCAGTTCTTCCAATTGATGCCAGTGGCTTGACAATTGTCCAAGCGGTGGCACTACGAGACCATGTTCCAACCTCCACGAGGGGCCTGGAGAGGCTTGCTAATGCCCTCTATGACTGCTCTCCATTCCTTGGGAAGCTGTTGTTCCCAAAGCAATTACGGCGTCGAATTTCTGAATTCGAAAAATGCACTCTGGATGTTGAATTGAGCTTTGAAGTGGTGCCGCTGGAGATGAACGGAGATGGTAAAATGAAGCCATGCATCCATGCCTGGGTATCCAACCCTCCCATTGTTCTTGAGGGTCTCACGAGGAGTGCTCTTGTTGCTGGAAAGTTCCAACAGTCAGAGACAGTTTCATCACACAAGGGTGAAATCCTCGTCGTTCAAGGGTGTGATAAAGGAGGAAACGTGACACTCAGCTTGATGCGAGTTGCTAATAGAATGGATGGGAACGCTCCACAGTTTTGCTTTCCATTGGCATTCTACGAAGACGGGCGGGAGTCTTATGCCAACCTAGCAAAGACCATATACGACGACTCCAAGACAGTTCAGCCTTTCATTCAAGCTTTGCTTGATGGCAAATTTCATATGATAACTGCCTCTGCAAGTCAAGGCACTGATGTGATCGATGCTCAATGTTTGCTTGTGCAGTTCAGCGGCTACTCAGTGTATGAAAAGAGTCGGGCTTTCATTCAAGATACCTGCGGCCGAGTTCTTCCAGACGCGGACCACCGAGAACTTTTGGCTCATGTTGATGAAGCAAAGTCTCGATCGCAGCCAGCAACCGTTTCATTAGATAGGGTACGAGCAAATTGCTCTCTGGCGATTCGACTTGTACGCTCAGACCCAGCAAAAACAGAAGGAGATGACTCGTCTCTGGGGGCATCATATGCAGGTATCCTCCTCTACGAAACTACCCAGACGCAGCAGCGGACACTTGTGGCACGGCTCCAATTCACGTCGACGCTTTCTGTTTCATCGAATGCTGAGGTTATGCTTCGTTGTTATGGATGCCGGCCATTTACTGCCGATGACTTGAAGCTCAACATAGCGGTGTCAGGCCAGGGAACAGCGGCAAGCAAGTATCCTTGTCCTATTTGTGTCGCTTCAAAGGATCAGCTCAGCCTCTGTGTCCACAACCTTGCTGCCATCCCTCCTCTCCGTGTCGGTGAGCACCACAACAGAAACCTGCACGCGAGATTTTTGGAAGTGGCTGGTGGCAGAGCCATGAAAGTTGCGACAGACTCATCTGCGGCGTCAATGGAAATAAAAGACCTGGCAAAGAGTGTTGTTAACAGGCCTTTACTTCTTACGCCACCGCCCCAGAACACAGCTGGCTCTATGCATGTCTGTCAGGGTCTGATGACCCATTTGACGAGGAGGACTTTTCAACTTTTGGAGAAGATCGATCGGAGGTCATTGTGGTATTCCGAATTAAAGAACGCTGTCCAAGATGCAAGCAACACTACGGAAATCAAGGAAATGGTGAAAGAGATGCATCAAAGAGACCGGGCTATCTACAAGCAACTGCAGAATGCGACAAAGTGGCCCAATGTCCCATCCCAAGTTGAACGTGCTGGCATTCTGCTGGCAGAGCGCGAACAACATAGTGTGCAAACTGGAATGGAGGCTTGGAGTAAGGTTCAAACGGCAGGAACGGAGCTCTCTTCAGCTGGGAACAAGTTCATCAAAGATTCAGGATCGAAGCCAGAGGGTGTGGCAAGTTATCTTCTTTACCAGTCGTTTTGTGTGGATGGTGGTGTTCGATTCAACGTTGAGCATTCAGGTCTTGAGTTGACCAATGCCAATGGAATAAAGGTTCTTTCCAACTACGAGACAATTGCCAACCGAGTGGAACAAGCGTACAGTGAAGGCAATGAAACGCATCTTCGTGAAGATGTAAAAGCTGTGATGGCAATGTGGCGACAACTCGCAGGTCTCTTGCTAGAGCTTTCGGCAATTCTGAAGCGACAATCAAAATTAACAACAGAGGAGATCGAACGTCTCAAGCAGTGTGCGAACGAATACGGTCGTCAGTGGATGGCCATGATTCCAGGAAAGGATACTGTGTTCAACAAACTGCACACACTAATCGCCCACTTGACAACCTTTGCTGAGACGCACGGAACCATCGGTTTAGTGAATGAAGAAAGCTTTGAGGCTACCCATCCGCGAGCACAAACAATCAGCAGTCACTTGCGAAGCATGGTCTCAACTGAGGCCAAAGTACAGAAGACAGTTCAGCGCTTCTCCCTGGGGCTCAACACGGAATATGAAACAACACGGACAGCTCTGCAAGATGGGAGAAAGACAGGTCGTCGGAATCTGAGGAACGGCGATACCTATGCTCGTCGCACCAGAAAGCACGACGTCGCGCCAATTCGCAACCAAACTCAAGACGGTCAGCTCCCTCCGGAATTGGTCTATGTTGACACGAATAGGGCTGTTGTCAAGAAGGAGTGGTTAGACTATTACAACTATCTGGTTTGTGGACGTGTCCCCGCCTCTTGGAGGAAAGCCTTTGGAGATGACGACGAGATTGGCAACGTCTTTAAAGTCAAGTCTGAATACGTCTAGAAAGCATGATAGACTAGGGCATCGTTGGTACATGGTGGCAATGAAGAAAACTAACAGTAAAACGGACTATTTTTTTGTTACGAACTATTTTTTTGTTTAGAGGAATGTGAAATGTATTATTGTTATGTTATAGTATCCTAGACAAAGAAGTAAGCATGGTTTTGCATGGGAGATTTGCGCGGGGAACTATAGCACTGCAACTCCACAGCTGTCACGGCCCAGAAACAACAGCAGAAAAAGCTCAAGTTGAATGGTGATCTTTGCACTAGAATCTCATGCCAGATACTGGATATTTGTGCGTTATTGACTGGCTTAGGAAACTACTGCAACGAGAAAACAACAATGAATAGATTTGCCCTCATAATCATGGGATACCTCGATGTCTGCACAATCAGCCTGAAATATTGTCACCTTGCAGCTCAGTCCATGGATTCCAAAGTAAACTCAGAGTGCGCTGCACTACATGGCGACAATAGATCAACTACGGAGGGTGTGGCATCTTGTTCTTGCTCGTTCTGATGACCTGAGAAAATGGTAAGCATTTCCGTGAGGACTGCTGCCATTCCAATCTTTGGACGAGAAGACTCATGAGGACGCTCACAAGGAGGCGCAATGTAGAATCTGGAGTACTTGCAAGCAAGCATCACGGTAATTTGCTCGCCATGAACAGTCTTGATAATCAGAGCCCGACGATCCATTGAGACAAAGGTGGTATTGACGTTCTCCGCCTGAAGAAGAAAAGAATGCAGCTCCTTAGCTTGGTCGGAAGAGAGCACCTTGCTGTTTTCAAAGTACCAAACAAGAATCTCATCGCTCTCCTTGCGAATGGAGTGGGCGACGCATTTCGAAATCCTTGTGAGATAAAGATCGAAGTCTTCGATTGGAAGCATGTCAATGCAGGGAGGCCTCCGGCAGGATGCGGAGTAAATTCCCCCTTCTTTGGTCTTGAAATCATAGGGCATGATGAACTCTTCAGCGGATTATGGCACGAAGCAAACCCAGGAGTTCTAAGCTCACTTTGTTACGGCCAAAACCTGAGCTTAACTGAAGAAGGAAAATTTGGTGGATTTGAATAGAGGCCTCGGCTGTGGCGGCTTAGAAAAATAAAATGACATAGCCTCCGGCGTCGATGTCATTTTGGTTGTGGTTCGTTGGTTGGTTGTGGTTGTTGGTAGCAAACTGCACGGGGACGAGCGTCGGTCTGTTTGTAGAGACAATGGCGTCTGTAGTCACAGTGCGCTTTGATGATTCTGACACCAAACTCAAAGACTCGGCCCTCGCGGCTTTTGGAGTACTTCACCATAATGCTAGCTGTATGTTGTTGCCAAGAGCCTTGCCCCTACCGAAGTAGGCACTGACTTCAAGGCAAAACAAATAGCGCAGCAATCAAGGGAGTAGTCAAAAACAGGAGCAGCTGGCGACAAAACGCGATGGTGGAGTCAGTAGAAGGATGGGGTAGAACGATGGGCGTCGGTAGTTTCGAAAGGACGGCTTCTCTCGAAACCACCCAAAGCTAACACTGTTGGCTGTCGCCTCTTGTTCGATTCATACACTAACAGAGAGTGGTGCTGGGCACCTCTACTCTATTATGACAACAAAGTACATGTGTAAATGCTCTTGTCAAGGCGACCAAGTGGTGTTCAGAGTGGGTTTGTTGGCATGTGACGTCTTTTTTTTTGAATGGAGGTGAGCCCTTTGTGACTGACTTTTATTCAATCCCGAGCAGCTGTGTGACCTCTGAAAACGACGTACCACGGCCAGACCCTAAAGGACGAAAAGGGTGATTTGCACCGATGTGGCTAGCTAGCAAGCAGCTCCCTGCAATAATATTGTTGTTTACAGGTTGAGGTGTAAAAATTACCGACCAAGCAACAACAAAATCGGAACAAAATTTTGATGATGTCACGATCAAAAAGTGCATGGATCCAATGGCATGGACCACCAATCCATCCTTTCGATCTTGTATGAAACGTCTTGGAAGGCACCTTGGCAACCCAGTCGGTCACCAAGCTAGTCTACCAATTGCAGGCCACCTGGATCGCAAGCTTCTAGCAAGGTCCTCGTGGGGCTGGGGATGATGGCTCTGGCTAGCTGGTCGCTCGCTCTGCTTTGGAGGGAGCTACCCTCTTCTCCGAAGCCAACGCCAAGGTGATCGACGGACTTGCTTTCGGAACGACACCCTTTATGGTCCTTTGGAGCTATGATAATATTATCGGTTGAGTTCTAGTCTTTTAAAAGTACAAGTCTAGATTTTGAGAGATTGATTCTTATAGTAGTGGTAGTTTTGAGAGATTAGAAGTAGTATAGTAGTAGTAGTGTTGAGAGTCGAGATTGCTTTCTTAGTTAGTAGTAGTTTTCTCCATAGCGAGCCGTGGGCATGAGAGGGTGCAGTCCAGGTCGACGTACACTGCCAGCTTGGCACCAATCACTCCTTCCACAGCTATTGTGAAAGGCATCGGAATCGTCGTCGTCTTCCTCGTCATGAGTGCTGCAGGAAGCTTGTTCATCGTGATGGGGGAGAACATGGCTCGAAAGCGTTTCCAGACTGCTAAACTTGGACTTGATGCTGCCTCCGCTGCTACCGCTGGCCAAGCTCAGAGCTGCAGTCGACGTGGTGGCGTTACTGCGGTTGCTGGAACGGCGTCGACGTCGTAGACCGGGGATGAAATCCTTAATGGACTTTTTCTTGTGGGTACTGCTGCTCTTTTTGACTGGTTCCGTCGTGGCGGTTGTCGTAGCCACGACAATGGCATCTTGGCGCAATGGCTTGACGGGAGAAGAAGCTTGTGGCAACTGACGAGGACGACGGCGCACATGTCTGGGTTGCATCTCTGTGGGTTCATCGTGAGGGACGACCTTGCGGCGAGACTTTTGACTGTCCAAACTGTCATCCACACTGTCTTCGCTTCCCGAGGAGTGACTATCATTGGCCTCGACACTGTTGCTGCATGAACTGCTGCTGAGACTGCCCATGCGGCAGGTATCTTGGCTTGCAATGCTCACATCATCATAGTCATCATCATCACTCTCATCATCATCCGACGACGACACGGCATCCAGAGCAGTGTTGCTGTTATGATGATGATGATTGGGTGGCTGAGCACATCCATCTTCTTCCTCGTCTTCGCAGCGGGGCCTACGAAGGGGGCCACGGGCAATCACAGCGCAAGACGTGTTGTGATGATCCGTACTGGGACGTCTCAGGGGCCCACGGGCAATTTTGGCGCAAGATGTGATGTTCTGCTGATGATCGTTGCTGGGACGCCTCAGAAAGAGATTGGAACAGTTGGAGACGACTTTAGTGGAATGGCTGGCACCGGTACCCGTGGTGCGAGAGGCAGCGGAGCGTATGGATTGGTTGCCAAACAGGGAGATGTTGCTGTCAATGGTAAAGATGGTCTGTTTCCCACCAGTGGTTGTCGTATTGTTGCTGCTGACACTGGCGCAACTGCTAATGGACTGATTGGTGGCTCCCGTGATGCATCGAGCACAGCCACAGAGAGCGCAGGTAGTCTGGTACATGTCACTGTTTCGGTAGGAGCAGTTGACACAGAACCATGCTTTGGCTTCTTGTGCCGAAGCACAGGATAGCACCGAAACGTCCGAGGCAAAGTCGTGTGATCTGGAAAGGACAGAAGGACCCGACACGGACGATGTCAAGCAAGGCATGGCTCGTGGCGGTTTGTTGTGGTTGTTGTTGCTGCTGCTGCTGCGCAAATTGTGGCTGAAAGGTGGCTCCTGCTGCTGTGGAAGCGGACGGCCTCTGTTAAAACTGCCCGAGGGATCTTCGGGCAAGCCTCGTCGTCGTTGCCTTTGCCTTTGTTGATGCTGTTGTTGAATGAGACTGTTGTCGAACATGGTTGTGGTTGCAAGGTTTCGGATGCCTCTCTTGTGTCTTGGCACTTGTAATGAGCAAGACCAGTGAATTGGATCTGTAACCAGGGACTCGACAAGATATTTGTGAGACCCAAAGTTGACAAGTTCTTGGGCTTGGGGCGATTGCTTTGTTTGGTTTGCTTTGCCTTTTGACCGCAAGTAAACACTCTCGAATCCAGAAGAATAGAACAATATCGTAGCTGAATATGGTGGCTGAATGTGGTAAGCAGGGTGTCTATGCTTGATAATACAGGAAGAGCATAGTCTACAAGAGTGGGGCTGCTCCTTTTAATTTCCCGAGATTTCTCAGTGGCATCATCAATGAAACTGGGGGAGGGGGGTATCCAGCAGTAGTCTTTTAGTTCGTAACAGCAAAGCAAGCAAGAATGACTGCATTTACAGGTGCTCACCGTTCACACTGTACACCGACCCCCTTTTCACTTACGAGTACTGATTTCGGAACGGTGCATGAACTACGACCGCCAAGTGCGAAATAGAATCTGACTGCCGCTGGTATATAATATTGCCGCAATGGCCTTGGCCCAGTCCACTCTGTTCCCGTTCCCTTTATCTGGTCGATCTACCAGTATGCAGCATTCTTGTTTTCCAGAAACGATTGAATTGGCGTAACGTTGCAGTACTCTTTCTGGCCATTGGCGTAAATTCAATGACAAGGAGATTGCTGGTCCTTATTACATTGCAAATTCTAAGTTAATCTCCCAGTCGTTTATTCAACTAGGATTTGTCGATTGTATAAAACTATACTGTTGGGTCACTCACAGACTTTCTAGCTGCATAAGTCAAAGAGAACTAGAATGGATTTAGCGTCTGATTTTCCCGGTTTTAATGATGCAAGGGGAAAATGAACAAATTGATGAGGTTTGACAAGATGATAAGTAAGGCACTTAGTATCGTGTCAAGCTCAGCAATTGGGGTGGTTGATCGACGTCGCCAACAGTTAAATCTAAAACAACTCCCGGAAGTGGAATGGTGAGTAAAAATACAATTTTGAGAGTTTGGAGTCTGGTCAATGGGCGTCGGTGCCAAATAAATGGTGGGTGTTTAGGGATGATGTTCTTTGACGAAAGCTTTTGGTGATGAATAAGTTATTCTCAGGTACGGACGACAGGCAGACTTTAAATGCACCAATTGTGTGAGTGATTGGATGAAACTCGGAAGGCTCTTTTTGCTTCTCGAGTGCACGAGCTTTTTAAAGTGTCAGCAATCAACCAATTAATTTGCGACCAAAATGAGAATGTAAAGATGGAGATGGAATGAAAGAAGGTTTTAACTTTGGTGCTGTTATGAAACGAGAAGATGGTGACAACTGAGCTTTGCCTTCCATGTATTTACTGCTAGAGTAGAGAAAGGGACGAATATAAAACCATGGTATAACACTCACTAGTAGCCAACTTGCAATGATATTGACGGTACTGGTGGCGAGATTGATTTTGGGGGGTAGTTTTTACTATGTTTTCGATTTAAGAGTCAGCGAATTCACTCGTTTGGTATTAATTGTCCACTACTCATTCCAGTCAAATCTTACGCTATCTCCTCCTTTCCCTTCCCGCGATCAAATCCGCAACAAACCCACAACAACCTCCAACAAGTTTCCAGGCAACTTTGACACGATTTCGATCACACTGGACGGCTTGATCATTCCTCCCAAACAAAATGCTGCTCAGATGCATTATCTTCCATCCGAATCCTTGGAGCTTCCAGTTTCTTCCAGTGGACCGATGACACTCCAATCCGATCAGCCCCAGTTTCCTTTCAACTGCAACGAGGGCCGTCTTTGTTTATAGAGGTGTTTTCCTTTGTTACATGACATGACAGTGTGGGTGAATGGTGAATACCACGATGCTGACAGCCATAAGCTTCCGCAATCTGCTCGAGTACAATTTTCAGTCGAGCAAAGGTTGCCACAAATACAGCATCTATTGCATCGTAGGCTCCCACTTCCTAATCCATCTACAACTGCATGCAACTGTTAACAATTGCGAGGAACAAGGTGTTCGAAGAATTCTTTCAATCCTTCACAAAAGAAGGGTCTCTACTCTATGAAATATCAAGACTACTTTTTTGGTTTCTACCGTTGAAGCGGCTTTTGAAACCGGTAGCTTCACACAGGCTTGCTACGGTAGATAGCTGTTGACGCTGTCAAGCAAAAACTACTCAGATCCCTTGTAATTCCACGGCAACCACCGCCCGGTAAATCGGTCCTGGAGGCCGCTATCCTCAAAAGATATAAAAGCATTGAAAGTGTTATCGGTGGAAACCGGTAGCCTCATTCCTGCGTTGTAATATCAAGCAACAAGCAACACACACTCGGTGCCATTCTGCACACAAGGGGGGAGAAAAACTGCCATGTGTCATGGCAACGCAACAATCTGCTCGATTCGATTCTGTAGGAGGCCAGAATGTTGGTTGGGTGTTGGATGGGAACATGAGTACGGTAGCATGAGTAGATGGTAGATGTGCATGCATTTCACATACATGTGCACATTGCTACCGGTTGTCTACATGGATGATTGCAACCAGTACAGCTACCATTACGCATTACGCACAACCATGGGGCAGTGCTTGCATTTTATTGATTTATTCCTTCGTCCATCTTTCTGATGGTGTTCAGAAAAAGAATTCATTTGAATTCGATCTGGTGCCCATGATATCGCCGTCACATCGCCGTCACCATATCCTGTACTTCTCCTTTTCGTTTCGTAACCACCTCATACATTGTTGTCCAGAAAGAGGTGTAGTCGATGGAAAGCAGATCCTCATTGTCAACAATCGTGTCTGGTAAGTTATATTGTGAATGTGCAGAGTATGGATTAGCGGGTGGATTCAAGACCGGTGAGGATGCAACTGCTAGTAAGTAGTGAATACAGGCGAGATGATACTAGTACCGAAGTGGCAAAGAAGAGGTGCTTGAAGATGTTCTCATGGCCCTAGTTGGGGTTGGAACCGATACGGTAACCGGTACGTGTAAAAGAGTGCTCAGATCCAGAATGTTTGAGAGCATGGTGATGCCGGTAGCCTTCAGAATAGAGTTAACACCAGCTTCTACAGGATGCTTTCCTTTCCAACGCCCATGTAGCCTTCAACCTTCAAGGTGAAAATTAATGTTCGATAAGGGAAACCATGGACTGATAGCTGTACTGATTCACTCCTTCGCGGCACGCACCGCTTCTTCTCGTCGCTGGGCACTTTCAACGGCCATTGCCTTCATCAACCGAAATTGACACGATTTCACCTCTACCGGTATTGTCTACTGAATATCGTATTGATACGACTCTTTGTCTTCTACAGTTAGTTGGTAAGATTGATTGAAGGGATTCATCTCGGTTTGGCAATACGATTGTGGGCAAGTTGTTCCTTGCCACTGTACACTCCACTACAACAGCATGAACCCAGATCCCAGATGCAGCTCGATCTTGCGTAACGATTGGTGGTGTTGCAGTGATGCAGTGACTACTATGGGCGCTTCAAAACAACCAACCTTCGCTTGCTTCTGTCTGTTACCTGTAGAAGTTTCATGGTGGTCAAAACACCGTATCAAAAAATAGGGGCACACCACCTGCAAGTCATTCTTTGTCCAAACTGCGAGGAAGCTATTATTCAAACGGTACCATCACCAATGTCAAGCTCTACAGCTTGCTAGCTAGATAGCACGATTGTTGACAAGATCTGTTGACAAGACCACACCCTCGACAGGGCGGTACCACTGTACGTGCTGAACCGGTATCGTCGCCAACTACTATGGTTCTGTACCGTACGGTACCGGCGTCGTGGTGTCTCAATCTGTGCGGAGCGGTGGGCCGCCTCACGAAGGAAACGTAAGGTTAAGGATGAAACTAAAACCATAAGCCGGTTAGTCTGGCAAGGGGCCCCGTCCAAGACAAAACAAGATGCCTCCGGTGGCGCCAACTACGGAAACAGAAATAGCAAAAAGACATGACAGTGGATTGCACAACCCTCCCAGCTACTGACATGGCTTCCTAGCAGTTTTCCTAGCTCCTTCCCCCGCCCTACTAGTTCCAGCCCGGTCCTGGTTGTACCTCCTCTGCTGGCCTGAGCCCAGCTAGTTACCTCAGCTTCCCAGTCAGTGACATCTCTATAGCATTTCTCCTGGGCAGCTCTTCCCCAGCTCAATGCCCAGTTTCATCCCAAATGTCCTCCTGCTGAGAGCCTCAGCTATGCAGTTAGTGTTACTGCTAGAGCTACCAAGCAACCCTCTTAGCCAGCGGAGGAGTCGGGTCGGTATGAGGAGTGATTTGGTTACATCTGGCCGGTACGCGTAATGGTATAATCTACCTTTTACTGTACTCACCATACAGGACTGTCCGGCGGTTTTCACTCAGACTTTAAAACGACCACGACTGGTTCTCATCGTAAGGGCATGTTTTAAGGGCATGTTTATTTAAGGGTATGTTTAAGGGCATGTTTCAGGCATGTTTATAGGGCATGTTTAAGGGCATGTTTATAAAGGCATGTTCATTCGTGATAAGGGCATGTTCTATGGTATTTCAATGAAGGCTTAAGGGCATGTTTCAAGGCATTAAGGGTATGTTTTAAGGGCATGTTTACATAAGGGCATGTTGCAGGGCATGTTGAAGATTTAAGGGCATGTTTAAAAAGGCATGTTTCAAACGGTGCTCAGGCGTGGAATTTCAATTTTTGTTTTAGAGCCTGAGTGAAAACGGTCTGGTACGGTATGGTTAGCCTGTAACCCTAAAACGAGGACCAACCATTGATTGATTGATTGACACACCAAACAACAAAATCTGCAACAAGCCAACTCCATAGTTGGCGACATCCAGTTGTGAGTTTCGTCACTCTCCATCCTCACCCCAAATGTGCCTCCATTGCCGTTCGCTGCCATGACGACACACTCAGAAGAAGACGCCATGAAGGCTACCGGTACCGGTAGCAGTGTCATTGCTGAGGGTACTAACGCCAATGGAAGTGACGACGACAGCAACGCTGTGGTCGTACGCAAACGTCCAACATGGGAAATCACCATGGAAAAGTTGTTGGACGAGTGTGCGTCCTCAGATAACCCTTTCCTGAACTCTTTTGCGTCCTCTCCTCTCATGGAGAGGTTTCTCCGTGACAATGCCTTGGCAAAAGCCTTTGGACGCATGAGCCGAAGTAGGTTGAGAAAAGAGCTGCAAGAATCCGCGGCACTCGAATCCAAACTTGCGAGAGCTCTACCAGGGCTATTGGCCACTCAAACGGCTTCGGGTGGCACTGTTAGTAGGTCAGAACCGGGCATGGGCACAACACAGACAGAAGATCTAGTCATTTGGGATTTGTGCTGTGGAAAGGGATTTAGTTCACTCTGGCTTGCCACCAACACGTTTCCCCAAGCTTCATCCATTACCAGCGAAGATGCAACCATAGATACAAACCATGCATGTCCCATCACCAATGACAATCCCGGCAAGGTCTCCATCCACATGGTGGACACCGATGGAGACATCAACTTTGACTGGATCAATGGTTTTCCAAACTTGACCTTCCACAAGTTGGATATCTATTCACACGATCTCGAAGATGCCATCAGAGAATCCACCATGGATGGCCAGAAAAAGCTCATTGTCGTCGGGATTCACACATGCGGTGACTTGTCGAGGCGAGTTCTCCAACTTGGTCAACTGTGTGAGGCTTACGCTACATTGGTAAGCCCCTGCTGTTGTATTCGTCCTCTCAAACTTAAAAAGCGCAAGATTGGATCGTTTGGATATGACACGGCAATGAAGGCCCGCAACTTCAATGGACAAGTCAGCGTGTACCAATTGTGGGGGTGGATGTTGTGGGGATATGCCCGTGCCATGAATCAACAACAGGCAGAGAAAAGCGGGGAACAGCAGAAGCGAAGAACAAGCCATAGAATTGATTTGACAGCTGAGCCACTGATGAAAACAGACAAGAACATTTGGCTCTCAGTTGTTGCAGCACCGACAACAAGAGTCTTCCCGGTTGACTCGAGTTGACAAGTTAGGAAAGGTATAGAGAGAGTATGGTGATGTAATGCAGCAGCATTTGCCTGAAAGAATGGCGTCTTCTTTCATTATGGGAAATGCCGTGGGTAAGGGATGTTCCGTGGGGAGACAAATTATTTAGTGCACGACATGATGCGCAACAGCCGTAGTAGTAGCTAGCGGTAGCCGTGGCAGGTCATTGGATAATAACTATGACCTACTAGCTAGTACTTTTTTGTTTTTCATATATACTGGATAGATACCGGTACGTCTCTCCCTAGGTTCAGGACTCGACTCGGTTACTTTCTTCCTCTATCAATAGGCACGTACATCCATCGTTGAGCACTTTCTAAGTCGTTAGTTGAGACAAGATTAGGTTTCTTGGTACGCGACTATCTCTTCAACGGCAGAAGAGATGCCTAGCTACCACGATAGGTTGAATAGCTCCAAGGACTGACCAGAAGCGGAACATGGTAGTGATCATCTGGGTTGTCAATCCCAAACCTCAAAGGAACTTCATCCAGAAAAGGTGTTCCGGCCACCTGGGTTCCTTTGGATGCAAAGTAATCTCCAGTGTAAAATACCCATTCATAGGTGCCAACGGTAAAGTTGGATCCTTTGAGTGCTGGGCCACCTTCCAAACGACCATCATCGTTTGTCATAAAGTTTGCAACCAACCCAGCAGTCTCGGGAGGTGAGAGTCGCGTCAAGGAAATTCTCATTTTGGCGGCTGAAAAAGGCAGGTGGCGTGTATGTGAGGTTGCAATGTCAGAATACAGTTTCAATCACAGACCAACAAGTTGCTGAACATGGTCCCGGTAGATTGGTGGAATATAATATAGTAAAGGAAACATAAATGAAGCCATTCTGGACGTACCTGGACAACCGTTCGCAGTATCCAAGACGTGACACGTAAGGAACCCTGAGGGTTCATCGGACTCTAGCTTGGCCAATATTCGCATCCAGGCAATTTTGTGCACTTGCTGCAGAGCCGTCACGATCTCTGCCTCTTTTGGATTGGAAAGACGACCCTCCAAAGCACTCAGGACGGTGAATTTCGTGGAATGTCGGACTGCCAGAATGAATGGGATTTGGAATTTCTTCTTGTACTGCGTGTTCAATTCTGTGAATTTTGCTAGCTCTTCGGCCGTCATGGATTGTAGGCCTGCTTTGGACTGCTCTTCTTGACTATCCGCTGTCAGCTCGGAGAGTTTTTCCACCTTTTGGGCCAGATCGGGATGAGCCTTGAGCAAGTCCAATTTTTGTTTTTCGGTGGCATTGTCCACAATGGCCTTCATGGCGGCTGCTAGTCCTGACACGGTCGTGATTTCGTCCGCATCGCCCGACTGTTGTTTCACCAAGGTTTCGGCAACCCATTCGGAATGTTCGTAGATGCCTCCCAAAAATGAAATGGTCTCTTTGGATCCTGTGGCCCAAAGATCACGAAGTTTCATCTTGTCGTCGTCACCGTCAGCCAAGCACGTATTATTACCCAAAACAGCTTGTACAAAGAAAAACAACACGAGGTACACGGTAGGTTTCATTGCTTTGTTTGAGGAAGCTTGGTTGGTTATGAGAGCCTACCGTATTGTCGACAGCTCTTCTTCTAAACTCAACAGGCACCAAGAGAAATGAGTGAAACATCTCGAGGAAAGGATCTTTTGAGAAAAGATCAGGATAAAATGTGCGTCTTTCGTACTCGTAGAGTGACCGTCGAATGTACCAGTGTGCCATTCGGAAGCTTTGATCCATGCTTACTCTAAAGCCGTCAAAACCGGATCCCAGAACATGGGTATCCGTTTGTCCCACATTTTGAATTTGACGGGATTTGTGCCTTTGGTTGTCATCGATCACAACAACTAACTTTCTCTTTGCTACCCCAACAAGAGGAAGTCAACAATAATAATAATGAAGACAATGATGTTCCAAACTAGACTATCCACACTGCACTTGGTCCTGGGGTTGATGCTTTGCCCGCTGGAAAGATATCCGTTGACCGTGAGGGCCGACATCCAGATCAACTATCGGGGGCGTGTGCGAGGTGAAACCAATGATCTGGACGACAACAATGGCCTCAGCAAACGGCGAATTCTGTTTGCAGACATGTGGTCCGATCCAAGCAATCCCAGTCGAGGAGGCGCTGGAGCAGCTGCCAAGGGCCTCAACGAATATGTTATCATGCGAACCCAGGTCACTCCTGCTCCAGCTCCAACCATGGCACAGCCCAACCCCACACCTGCACCTCCTACCAATCCACCCCCGACGGCTCCTGCACCTACAATGAACCAGGCCAATCGCAATGATCAATGTTCGAGAGCGACGGGACCTATCCAAGTCACGGCTCAGGGATTGGGTAACAGCCGTGCCATTATCTATGAGGATACTACGGTTGGAGCGCGTGTTCCATCGGTCTTGCCAGATAGATGCAATCGAATCACCAACTCGGCGCCTGGAGTTTGGTATAAAGTGGTTGGAACGGGAGATCTCATGACGGCCAGTCTTTGTTGGTCAGGCACAACCTTTGATTCCAAGATTACCGTTTACGAGGGAACCTGTGATGCCGTCATGACGTGTGTCAATGCCAACGATGATGCCAGTGGAAACTTTGGTGCCTGCGCCGTCAATCGACAAGCGAGTCGCGTGCAGTGGCCGTCCAACGACGGTACCATGTATTACCTGCTGATTCACGGATTTGGAGCGCGAGAGGGTGATTTCCAGCTCAATGTTATCAACTACAATCCCATTAATCAAGACCCTGAAAAGGCGTACGACATTAGTCCAGGAGATATGGTTGTTGGAACAACCTTCCAGGCAATACACCCCTGGGATGGTGATTCCACCAATTGGTAGGTTCTGTGTGATTGTTACACAAAAAGGAGTTTTGTTTGCTTTGTTGTGGATGTGCTTGACTCAAGCTTTTCTCTTCTGTCTTTCTTTTCAGTGGAGGTCGACATGGCTTGATTGGTGAATCTCCCTCAGTATGGTACAGAGTGCAAGGTACCGGAGGCACGTTGCGTGCGTCGACGTGCAATCCTCAAACAGAAGACGACTTCAATTCAGTCCTACACATCTTTGAAGGTTCGACGGATATTAATAGGTGCTTTGCCGGGAACGATGACCTTGCGTCTCCCGATAGATGCGCTCAGATTGACTGGCCATCCTCAGCGGGCCAAACCTATTACATCCTGGTGCATGGGCGTCTGGGTGATCAGGGTCTCTTTGAATTGTCCGTGGATTCAGTGTAGCTAGGCCGCATATGGTGACTGAGAGAACTAGAATGGAATACTACACGACAAAAAGGACACGGTGATGGTCTTTTCTTGCTGCAGAGAAATCTTGCGCAGAACCTTGGTGACAGGCCCTTCAATTTCCACGTCATGGTCGGTACGGATGCTCACGGGAGGCATTGGTAGAGCTATATGTTTTTGTTTGTTGTGGAAAGGATTATTAAGCGCATAGGCTACTGCATGATGATTTTGTAGTTTCAAATCTCAAACGGTGCCTGTAGTATGATTGTACCCTTTGCTTAACCTTGTGCCATCTCTAGCTAGCTACTACATGTAGTAGAGTAAGAAAATGTGTTTGCTGATGAGAGCTACAACAAAAACACTATAGAATTCCGAAGAGGTCACAACAACCAGAATAGAGATTCAAGCATCAGCTCGCAGCACCCAAACTTGTCTTGGAGTCCACTAAGACCAGCTGATTGCACATTCCCAGCAACACCAACACTACTTCTCAGAACCAATTATCAGTCTGTAGCCACAAGTCTGAACTTTCTTTCACATGCATCGCCCCTTTATTTGCTGTACAGTACTATAATAGTCTACTCAGTAGTGAGCGCATTACATGCCACATTCAATCTACACATTCACGCCACCAATAAAAAGAAATCCGAGGGTGGCTACCGGTCAAGTACATTGTACAGCGTGCCTTCCAAATCACCCATCTCTCTTTCTTTTTATTCGACATAAATGTCCCACTTTTTTCGTTGCGTATTGTGCAAGCACATACCAGTACATTGGAACCTCCTCTGCAAAATTAATCCAAGTTCCACTGCTTGTTCCCAATGTGGAATTAGTCGATGCTTCAGGCTATGTCAACAATCCTGGATTTTTAGTAACATGCTGGAGTGCCTTGTCTTCGCCATAGCATTCTGAATGGAACTGTAGTGTATTGTTGCCGTGGATGCAGCTCATACCCAGGAGAGTTGGCAGAATCCCCATCACTTTCAACAAATCTTCTTCATGAAGTTGGAACTTTGTGTGGAGGTACTCCAGCTTGACTCGACTCAAGTGACTCTGGGATGCTCTCTTAAAAACTCAAACGAGAGGGAAGGCGTGAAACCACCTTTTTAAAATACCCAAGAAAGCTGGAATTTTTTCCAAAAATATTGAAGATCTCCTTCTGTTGCCTGTCTCCAGTTCTAACCAAATTTGTAGCCGTTCCATTTTGTGTGATTGAGAGCATGTTCAAAAGTTTTGTAGAGATTTGGATTTGTCGCGTTGAGCCCCAATGTCTCCTGAAACCAATATACTTTGCACCTCAGTGTGTATACTTTGTGACCCAATATAAGTGGATGTCGTCTGATTATTGCTTCCAGTGTGCTGTTGCAGCAAGTCTATGGTTTCCAGAACATTTTCACTTGTGAACCAGAGAAGTGTTTGCCACCGCTTCAGGGTGGTTTCAATTTCCCTGTCTGTCATATGAAGCTGCTGTTGAATGGCTATCCACAGAGAGTTTCTGATAATCATTCATCACTTCGTCTTGGTCTTCTGTGCAAACAAGTGGGCTCGGCATTATTATTTGATGGATCCAATGATTCTGCAGGACTTGCAACTCTTGCTTGTCGTTGGAGTCGAGTCGAGTCAGCTTTCCCATGGAAGACGTGGACTTGACAGAACAACAGATCAAGGATCTACTACAGTGTACAGTAGCTAGCTCTAGCCAGACGTCGTTGGAGCAATTGGGTCGACCCCATTGTCCTCGTTCAGTGGAAGTCATGGCTGCGAGAGGAGCCAAAACCAGCTGGTGGTTGGCAATCACGAGGTGAACCTCCCG